CAAATTTGAGCCCAGCCTGGACAGCTTGGCAGATCTTATCTCAAGAAAACAACAACAACAACAGCAACAGGTCCAAGCCCAGTGCAAATACTTGGGTTCAATCACCAGTGCAAAACAGGACAGCTGTTTGGCTAAACCCTTAGGATGCCAGGCTTGGCCACTGTCCCCAGCCGTCTGCTCCCTGCAGGGCCAGCCTAGCTGAAGCAGAAGGTTTTCAGCTATCCTAGGAGCAGGGTGGCCCCAGGAACTGGACTCGGGCTTTATGTCCCCTTTCTGCAAATCAGTGTGTGGAAAGTGAATTCACTCAATGCCAACTCACCAAACACCGGTCCCTGAATTACTGTCCCATGACATCTCTGTGTCATGCGTGTGCCGGCCTTGGCCCTTGGCTCTGTGGCTGCCGTGTGATATGTAGGGGGCTGCTGGCAGTAGGGAGGCAGGATGTCCTGCATGGGCTCCCAGAGTCTGTGTCTCGTGACTTCCATTCTGTTCTGCTCCTGAATCCGACCAGTCCCTGCCCCTTGCCCTGCCATTCTTTTACCATTTTGACCAAAATGGGAGTATTTTCCCTTAAAAGCAGTTTAATATACTCTGCATTTTTCTAGACACATGCCTTGCCTTGTCATTTCCTAACAGTTAGGAGTGCTGATGTGGTGAGCCACAGGAAGCCTCACAGGTTTGGTGTGCTTTTCCCATGGTTGGAAGTCTGAGGAGGCACAGGTAGGGCTGTGGCTCCTTTGAGCTTCTTGACATGCTGTCCTTGTGGTGGGGTCCTCCTGCTGAGAGAGGCTGTCTCACTGTCCAACCACCTCCTAGACAGGATTCAGGGAGAACAAAGGGCAGGAGCTGTGCTACCCCTTACCCAGTGAAGCAGAATTTGCTGATATCCCTTCTGCACCTGTCCCTCACCAACACTAGCCATGAGGCCACTTCACTCACGGCCCACCTGCCTGTTTCTGCTGCTGTGACATGCAGGAAGTTGTGGCAGGGGTCCTGGCCCAGGCCTGGCTTAAGGTTCTATTGAAAAGTGAGGTAGGGTTTGTTCTTTGAGTGAGAAAATAAGACTTTTTAAGAGGCCAGGATCTACAGATCAGATTAGATCACAAGTATTCATGAGCTGGGGTGTTGCTATTACTGTAATCCCATTTCCATTCACCAGCTGATGTGCTGTGTAGAAACTCAGCATGAGAAGGAGATGAGAGATGAGGAAAAGCATGAACCATGAAGTGTTCTGAGTCATAACAAGCAAGATGCCCTGGGGCTCCAAGGAAGGACAAGAAGTCCCACTGCTGGGGAGGACCAAAAGAACAGAGCATCGTGTACCTCTAATGCTTACTGTAAATTTTACATCAAGTTGACTTCTATTTAGCAGCCCCTGTTGCTGCCTCTAGTGCCTGGATTCTAACTGCTAAGACTCAGCTGAGCCTCCTGAGTGCCAAAGGAGGCAAAGGACACCTTCAGCGTTTCCTGAGAGCCCAGGTGGGCTCTTCTGAGCAATAAGTGAACCCGGTGAAGGAGCTTAGGAAAGCCGAAGAGTGATTCACCACAATCTGATATTTAAATATTTCACTGAAAACCGGTTGGCCTATACGGAGTTAGCAAGCAGATTCATTAGAGCACCCTAAACATCACAATGACTAGTACAGGCATAAAATTAGATAATTCCTTAGGGAGAAAATAATCTATATTCAGTGTGGTGTAATGCAATGTCTACTGTGTTGAGAATAAGGAGTGATGTTTTAAAAAACTAACAGGACTTCCTTGTACTTACCTAGGGAACCCTAAGATTTTGATCTGTAAATTGAGCATAATCCCACCACATGTAGAAGGTGCTGCTAGTATTCCTCAGCATCTGGTTCTCCTCTACATCTGCTCCCTGGAAGGTGGTCATGTCCAGTTGTCTTGGCCAATGAAATGTACATGAAAGTGTCACATGTTACTGTGAAGCATAAGCATTTAGTAGTCAGTAACGGAGGTGTTTCACTTTGGTTTCCCTGACCCAGCAAGCTCAGAATTAGTGTTGACTTGGAGGGATCATATAGTGAAAGCAGCCTTGGTTCCTGGACCAACGCATGGAATATTCAGACCCGGAGCCAAATTGGTGAGTAAGAAACTATTAATAAAGATAAACGCCTAAGACTTGGGAGGCTGTTTATGACTATGATTTATCCTAATTTATTCTGACCATGGACATCACAGGATTAAAACTATAGAAGATCTTCCACAGAACATTAAGCAGGAAAATATTTGACATACTAGTTGCAATAAAGAGCCTGTCTTAGTTACTTCTCTCATTGCTGAGACAAAATACCCAACATCCAAATTTAAGGGAGGAAAGACTTATTTTGGCTCATAGTTAGTAGAATTTTCAGTGCACAGTCAACTGGCTCCAAGGCCAGGTGGTGTGACAGAGGGGCGTTGTAGAGGAGAAATAGTTCATGGCAGGGTAGGCAGAAGGCAGCAAGCAGCAGCAGCCTAAGCAGGCTTCCCTCTCACTGTAAACCTTCTCATTGGTGGCATCCACACCCAGGTTGGGGCTCCCTTATCCCAGCATCACACCCTAATCCAGCCACCTTCAAACACCCCACCTACGACCACATGAAGCTTTCAGGGACGTCTAGACTCAAGTCATAACAGAACCGATACTATGAATAGAGGGTATGAATGAAATACACACAGAGAAACACTTAAGTGAAGTTTTCAACATGTGACAGTGAGCAAATGGGCTGGCCACAGCAGAAGAATGATGTTGGACCCTCGTCTAACACTATATACAGAAATTAACTTAAAGTTAAAGATCTAAATGTAACACCTAATGCTATAAAACCCTTGGTAGAAAACATATAGGAAAAACTTTATGACATTAGATTTAGCAGTGATGTCTTGGATATGACACCAAAGGCACAAGTAACAAAAGAAAAAACAGACAAATTGGACTTCATGAAAATGTTCAAGTATTTGTGTTCTGAAGGACACTCAACAGAGTAACAAGACAACCTACAGAAGGATAAAAAACACTTTCAAGTCACACATTTGATAAGATATGAATACCCAACTCCTAACACTCAGCAAGGATAAAAACAACTTGATTTAAAAATGGGCAAAGGACTTGAATAGACATTTCAACAAAGAGGACATACAAATAGCCAATAAGCTCATGAAAAGATGCCCACCTTCACTAACCACTAGGCAACTGCAAACCAGTCACTTTACACACAGTAAAAATCTGTATCAAAACAAACAAGGAAACATAATAGAACAAGTGCTGACGAGGATGTGGAGAAACTGGAGTCCTCATGCACTGCTGGTTGGAATACAAAATAGGGCAGGCACTACACAAAAGAATGCAGCAGCAGTTCCTTGAAACATTAAAAGTAGAATTATCATATGACCCAGCAATTCCACTTCTGGAAATACACCCAAAAGAATTAAAAGCAGGGTTTTGAAAAGATGTTTCTGTACCCATGCTCATAGCTGCATCATTCACAAGAGCCGAAGGTGGAGGCCACCCCATAGCTTGAACTGACAGAAACAGAATGTGCTCTGTAATACAATGGAGCTTCCTCAGCCTGAGCAGCTCTGCCGCAATCTACAACATGGGGACCCCAACCATGTGCTAATAGAAGTCAGCCAGTCACTGAAGGACAAACGTCTGATGTCACTATTGTGGGCACTTAGAGGAGCCAAGTCTGTAGAGGCAGAAAGTATGCTGGTGGTTTTCAGGGGCTGAGGGAGGAAAAACTGGAGAGTTATTGTGTAATGGAGACAGAGTTTTAGTTTTGAAGATGAAAAGAGCTCTGGGGATGGTGGTGGCTGCACAGTGTGAATGTGAATGAGAAGGCCACAGAACTGTGCACTTAAAAATGGTGAAACGGTGAGTATTGTGCGCTGTACTTCAAACCCAAATTTAAAATAAGTCTAAATATTCAAAGGTAAAGAGCTCAGGAAGGAAAAGCAAAAGCTTTTGCTTGAAAGGGTGAACTGCTCAATTTGGTCCCCGAAAGCAGAGGTGCTTCGGGATGTGGAATTTCCCGTGGGTTTCAACTTTAAAAATATTCCTCTACCTCTGTCCCAGCCACGATGACAGCTATACTCACTGGAACTCAGACAATGATGTAGGATGGGTTTCATTTCCATTTGCTGAATCAGAAACAGAAGACTCCGAGTTGGCGAGTGACCTGCTTGAGGTCACACAGCTAGTAAAGTGACCACCCAAGTTGCCATGCCATTCCCTAACTTTCCAAAGCCCATTTTGTTTCCACTAGTACAAAGATTCAGAAACTACACCAGGCTTTTAGAAAAATAGGGTGATTTTCTCCTATTGCCTTTTGTGAGCTAGAGAAGTGTTTCCCTTGATTGCAAAGGATCCGCTGTGGGGTTAAAGGAAAGCTGAACTGCGGAGGGCTGATTCACAAGCTTTTGAGGTAGTGGGTGTAGGGGACCTGGCAGCACCCCCAAATCCTGCGCAGACACAGCCTGGCCACCATTACCAGCAGCAACGGCCCGGAGAGAGCCTCACCTTTTCTCTGAGATAATCGGCACTGGAGAGTCTGAATAGCAAATGGGAACATCTTGTCCTAGAGACAGGAGTGTCTGTGGGCTCTCACCATAATCATCTTGCTGACTTCCAGAGCTCCCTGAAACAGACGACTGCCTGATGGGGCTGAATTACAGTGTCTGGGTGACATTCCGGTGGCAGACAGAACAACCTGCCTCTTCCAGAAACGTCTGTATCCTAGTCACCAGAAGCTGTGAACACAGTCACATGGAAAAGGGCCTTTGTATCTGCAGACGTGCTTAACTGTTGTGGTTTTAAAAGGAAAGTCTTCCCCCAAAGGCTCATGTATTGATGGCTTGTTCTCCAGGGCAGCAAGGTTCAAGGTGGGGCTTTTGGAAGGTGATTAGATCTGTGATGATTAACCTGTGATGAGTGCGCAACTGTCTGTGCTGTAGGAGGTGGGGCCTGGCTGCAGGAAGCAGTCACTGGGAACATGCCTTTGGAGGGTATATCTCCTCTCTGGCTCTTTCACTTCTTTTCTGCTACCTGGATGACAGGAAGTGAGCAACTTTCCATGCCCTTCCACCATGATGTTTCTGCCTTGGAGCCAGCTAACCATGGACTCAAACCTCTGAAACCATGAGTCAAAATAAACCTCTCCTCCTTTAAATTGTTTTCTCAGGTATTTGGTCATAGGGACAAAAAGCTAATATATTAAGCAAGGACCTTCAGGTAGAGAGGTTGTCCAGAATTATCGGGGTGGACCCAGTATCATCACATGGGATTTAGAAGCAAGACCTTTTCCAGCGGTAGACAGAGTGAGATGCAACTGGAGAAGAGAGGCAGAGAGACTCGGTGTTGCTGACTTTGACGATGGAGCCAGGAGGCCGTAATCTGAGGGGCAGGGGCAGCCACTAGAAGCTGAGAAGGCCAGGAAACAGACTCTCCACTAAGGTTTACCAGAAGGGACAGCAGCCTTACCATCACCTTGGCTGGGGCTCAGCGAGATCCAAGTCGGACTTCTGACCTGTGGAACTGCAAGGTAATAATTCAGGGTGCTTTAATCATTAGTGTGCCGTAATCCGTTCCAGCCACAATAGACAACCATACAATCAGGAGAACTATTGGCTGGAAAGTGTCTTACTCGTGTGCCATGACCTCTCTAGTGCATAGGCCTGATCCTCTGCTCACTCCGATGTCTGATTGGACTCCACATCCTGTTGATTATACCCATAGAAACTGTACTGTGACAGTAGCTCCTCCCAACAGCAGGCTGGCTTCACAGCAGCTGGCCACCTGCTAGACACTCAAGCGGTTTTTCCCAACCTTCATGATAATCCTTGTAGGTGAGAGGTCCCTCTGACCACGGGGGACGTTGAGAGTCAGGGAGGTGAACTGAGCAGAATGCAAGCTCCCCATCCTCTCTGGCAGGTACCTCTGGTAAGAACCTCACTAACATTAAGGAATCTGGCTTTTCTTGCCCAGACCCACAGCCATGGCCCCAACACAGGGGCCTCGTGTCCCTCCAGGGTTATGCCCACTGCTCCCCAAGGTGTCCCCTGCTGTAGGTCTCATCTCCATCTACAGCCAGAGCAGCTGCTCTTTTGCACAGACCGGTTCTTGTCATTTCTCTGCTTATCTTTCCCATGGGTCCCCACTTCATGGCATTCTTAGCACGACGTTCAGAGCCCTTTTCACCTGCTTTTGAATTCATTCCTTCAAACTCTCCATGCTATAGACCATCAGCATGTTAGCTCAGTGCCAGAATGCAGATGGACTTTTCTTCACCAGGTGAAAGAACCTCCTCATACGACAAGCAAGGTACCTGGATCAGAGATGTGAAGCTGTCTCCCCATGTCACACAGCTCATAAGAAGCAGTCAACACTAGACCCCAAGCTCCCTGGTGAAGCACTCCAGAGTCTTCAAGACAGAATCTCTCCACCTCCCTTCTCTGCTGCCATTACTGAGTGAGAACTAGCCCCTCTCCAATCTGGGCTTCATACGGAAAGGAAATCTAAATATGCCTCTCCACAGCTCAAAATACTCAACAGCCCTCTGTTACCTTTCAGATAGAGCCACACTATTAGGGACAAGGCCCCTGCATGACTCTGAGCTCCGTCTTGAGACCTCTGCTGACACCCAGTCCCCTGCGGGTCTTTGCCCCCTTCTGCCTCAGGCTGAGTTTGTGCAGAGTACTCTTCCTCCTTTCTCTCCCTCAGCCTTTGCTTCCCCAGGATGCCTCCCCCTGTGAGATGCTCCTGGTGTCGGGCCCCATTCGTTCCATTAGTCTGGCCATGTGTCCTCTCTCCATCAAACTTCATGCTCCATAAGACTGTGCACATTTGTGTCCCCAGTGCTGATGACAGTAACAGCAGTGGATGGGGAGTGAAGCGAAAGTCAGTGGCAACCTATTGAAGGAATTAGCACCCATGGCCCAGCTGGGAAGTGGATTCATCATTTCCGTTTACCTTTCTGAGAAGGGAAAGAGCAGAAAAAGGTGCCAAGTGCTGCAATGCTGTGACATGGCATCGGTATGCTGTCCTGGGGCTGCTTGTTTGTTGTCTTGCTGCTGTTAATTGCTTTGTTTGGGGGAAAAATTTAAAATGTTTTTAAAATGCCATTCTGAAACAGACTTAAGATGAAAAAACAAACCCCAAAGCTGTCAAATGAATAAATGTATTTTATTGAAGAACACAAATGGGGACTCCTGACAACTTCCTAGAAAATAGGCTCCCCCACCCACCCACCCCTGTTTTTACTGTAGTATTTTTAGGTCTAGACCTGCGTGATTAAGCACAGGAAATTTCTTATTTTTCCAGGATTTTGCACACAGAACAGCCCATATGTGATGCTCTATGTATAGAACACCAGACGCAGCTGATTCCAAAATCATCCTTAATGCTTCTCACATACGTCTTATGAGGGCATCGGATCTGAAAGTGTCCCAAATGCTTCTGCTGCCGAGCTTTCTAGTACTTGGACATCGCTGGACAGCAGAGGAGAATTGGTGAGCTCTGCTCCACTTGGAAGGGTTACCAGTTTTTGGTTGGCAGGAATGATGGGTTTGAACAATGTGGACTGTTGTACCTAGAGTTTACCTGCTCTTTCCCTTCCTAACCCAGCAGAAATATAGTATCTGACTTCCAAACTTAGCCCAAATTAATGCCGTGCGTTCCCTTTTCAACAATACCAGAAATACGTGTGCTTTTTAAAAACTTCATCCATGAAACACACTCCTTTTCTTGTGCCCTTCTAGGTGCCCCATAATTTGATGATAAAACATCTGGGCGCTGCCGGAATGCAAAGTCTTGGCAGCAGGGCACTGTGTGCATCTTACCTCCTCGGTGACCCCACCACCCAGCACATCAGAGACACTGCTAAATATTTTGAAATTAACCCAGGTAAATGTGTATTTAACACTTTAGACTGAAATTCACACATGCCTATTTTAGAAGTTTTAGGAGAAACAGAAAAACTAGAAAGAAAAGATAATACTACATAATCACTTAAAGATGAACATATTGGCATCCTGCTCCAGACATTTATGCATGTATATGTGTGTTCTGTGTACAACATGTTGTACATGAAGTTTTCTAACCTGTATATGCTTTTAACCCTCTCTCTCTCTCTCTCTCTCTCTCTCTCTCTCTCTCTCTCTATATATATATATATATATATATATCTCATGCCAGTAAATATTTGTGACTACATCTTTAGTGATGGCACTGCATGATTGCACCGTAAGAATGAACCACAGTGGATGTAACCACTCTCCCACTGTGGCTGGAGAATACTCCCAGGCACCAGATGCTCCATTTCTCAGCATTTCAGGAAAGTGGGGCATTCATTGTTAATAGGGAGGGAGCATCAAGGGCCAAAATTCGGCGCTCAAGTCTACAGTTACATAGAACACACTTTGGTCTTTCTTTCATGGCTCGGGAACATTCTGGAGTGACTTCTTATGCAGAAGTAAACACTTGGTTTTAGAGGGGTCAGATCTGTGCAAAGCTGTCAGAAACAAACACAAAGCAGAACACTAGCTCTGGTGCCTCTGGTGTCAAGAGGGGACCCCAACTTAGTTTTCTCAGTACCTCCCCGAAATGTCCTTAATGACAAAAGAAATGGTTAACATATTTATTTGTGTATGAGGCTAAACATTTTGCAAGGGACTTGAGGCCAAATACTCTAATCTGTTGTTCTCTTACTGTATCTGAGAAAACTGTCCCCCTGCTTCCACTTTCTGCCTTAGGGAGATGGCATACAGAGACTGTTATGAAAATCGGAAGTTTACTTTTAAGGAGAACGGGCCCTGGTTTGCAAGTACATAGGACACTGTTTCTACAACTGGCTTTGAAGGTCATCTGTGCTTGAGACTTGCACTGGAACAGGGCACACATGTTTGTCAGGCTCAGGGCCGAGCAGTGCCAAGGTCAGCCATGGTTATCATGGTGATAGGGACTCAGAACTTGGTGGGGCCTGGATAGTGGGCAAAAGAGAATCCCTTCCGGCAGCACGCAGCACGGAGCCCCCAAACAAGCACAAATACACTCACAATTGTAACTCATGTATCTTAAAGCTAACTATAAAATTAGCATTTGGCAATTGCCATAAAGCATAAATCAAAATGAATTTCCCCAGAACTCACTATTGCTATTGAACACATTCTACAAGTGGTGATTTTAATAAAATAAAAGGCAACATCTTGTCTTTAGATGGGAATTTCAACAATGAAGTATTTTAGATGGTTTATAGATGTTTTTGCTAAGCCAGTTTCACAGCCTGAATGGGTGAATGTGCTCTATAAACTGTAAGGATTAAATATGGTTAAAATATATAAGATGAGTTAAATATCTAGTAATTTGCTAAAATACTTTCAGTCTATTTGCTATAAAATTTTGTTTAAAAGAAAGTATTTTTAATAAAATCTCAGACCCAGAGTTAAATTTCTCCAAATACAACCACTTACATAAAGAAAACATTCACTTAAATCAATTTAAGGTCCTGGTTGATTATCCCAAGGTGAAACAGTCACCTGTAGGCAAATGGAGTTTGGAAGACAGAGGCAGGGGTTGAGTGGGGAGAGGCTGTTTCTTCTCCATCTTCTCCAGGAACAATCGCCTTTCCCTAAACATGGGGATGACACTTGGGCCTTTTGGGTCTATCCTCTTAGCACAGTGCTTCACGTGGTTCTTGTTCTCAGATGTTCCCCACGAGGAAGAAGAGAGGATTCATGAGAAGGGAGGGTCAGGTCCCCCACGTCCCTATGAGCCCACAACAATCCTTCGGCTGATCGCCCCTGGCAAGGTATAGATGAAGAGGACCAGGAAGATGATGAGGATGATGAGGATGAAGCCGATGATGATGTACTTCTTGAAATTCCTCCAGATGAGATGGTATAGGCACTTGAAGGGGTTCATGAACCAGGAGAAGGAGGTGTCTGGGCGGCTGAGGGGGAAGGCAGAGAACATCAGGCAGGGGAGCAATCATGTTGGCAACACTCAGGATCCTCCAGCCTAAGGGAAGCATTTCTGCCTCCCACTTTCTGGGGACCCACAGGGAGACCCCTGGGAAGGGCAGAAGAAGACTGCTGCCTGCAGCAGGAGCAACCTGACATGAGGCTGGTCTGGAGTAGAGCCTGAGTCGAGTCAGAACCCAGCGAGAGGCCCCACCGCCCTCCTTCCATCCAGGCATGACCAGCTCCAGCCCTGCCTTCCTGGAGCCTGTCCTGCCCACCCCAGTCCCTGAGGAGCCCACTCTGAACCCTCATCTCCCCCGTCCCTTGGTGGTCTTCTTTCTGAGCCTGTTTGTCTTCTACACTCTGATATCTACTCTGCATTATTTCTCCCTAAAGAAGCTGAAAGCTCCTGGAAAGCATAGCTTATGCCTTACATTTCTTCTGTGTTCTCCAAAATGTTCTAGTAGGTGCTGCATGGATAACTGTGAGCTAGCGAGTAACACAGCACCTGTTATGTCCCTAAACATTACAAAAGATGAAGGTTAGTACAGAGACAAAATCACTCATCTTGAGACAGCTGGTGTCTGGGAAAGGAGAGGGCAAATATAATTTCAAAGAATATTTCTATATATATAGTATTTCAAATCCTTATGTAAACACTTTTTAATTGATAGGTAACCAAGGATGAAACTGAATAAAATAATATTTTTTCCTAGTGATTCTACTGCTAGGAATTTATTTAAAGTAGTGATTTATGAAAGAAAAATATTTTCATCATTTTATTACAATGGAAAACAGGCAGAGTAAATTGGGTATCTGATTATGGGGTGGTGATACTTGTGGAATATTTCCTAGCTATTAAAAATCCTAATTAGGGGAGTGAGGGCAACAAAGCAAGACTTTTCAGTAAGGCTTAAAAAATTAAGACAATTTTGTATGTATGATTAGAGAACAAGAAGAAAAATGTGAAATTTATGTTCACATAAGAAATGAGTGGAAAATATGTGACATGACTCCAGAATTCTTGTGTGGTATGACAGACAAGACCCTCTCCATTTGCCAAACACTCTAATATTTTAGATTGTTTTTCTTTTATCAATCTGCTGGGGTTTTTTATTAATCGAGTTTATTGGTGCTATTTAGATATTCATAAGGATCACATTCATCATATGGAACTTGTACCTGTACGTGATGTGTCTTGGTTCTTATTTTTTCTCCACTCCCCTACCCTCCCTTCAACCTTTCTTCTCCTTCTTATTTACAAAAGCTTTGTTTGCACAAAGAAAGATAGATTGTTTTGCAATTGTAGAAACAGGAAGCTCCACCAGTGGGCTGGCACCTATTGCCTGACTCCTGGCTTCTCAGGTCTCCCCAGAGAGCTCCGGAGGATGCTGAACCCTCACTTCCCCTGTCTCCGCCCTCCGCTCCACTCACTTGGGCTTGGCCAAGGGCTCCGGCTCCTTCCGGGCTTTCCCCACAGGACTCTTCTGGGCTTCTTCTGCTGTAACCAGGTGGAACTCCGCTTCCACCTTGCCCTGCAGAGACAGAAGCTTTGGTTCCAGGCCACAGAGAGCCCCCTGGAGCAGGGCCAGCTTTCCAGGACAAGTGCCGTCACGTTAGAGACTGGCAGAAAGTACTTTGACAAACCAGTTGATTTATTTTGAGAAAAGCGGTCGTGTTTTTGGTGCTGGGAGAGGACAACTTTATGAGTAATATTAGCACCAGAATGATGTGGAGTTTTGTGGAAGGAGCGGGCCCTCCTGTGCAGGGGAGCACACACGCGGTCACCTGTAGGATTCACTGGTGATCATCTAGCAGGAAGAAACAATACTAACGACAGACAGGTAACAGTAATCAGAAAGGGGACTGTGATTGCGTGGTGGACCCTTCTGTACCTGCTACTCTCTTGTCTGTCAATTCTCAAGAGGAACTTGGTGGGCGTGGCCCTACATTTGCAAATGGCTTTTGTCATCACTCTTTTTGCTGTCCCCACCAACTGCTTCAGAGCCATCCTTTCCCTCCAGCCCCTCTCTTCTCCTGCCCCTCTGTAAGAAGCAGCTCCCCTGCTTTGAAAGTGGTGAGCAGTGTGCTCCTTTGGAACCTAAGCCAAAGTTGACGACAATGTACATCAGACATCATCAAAAGATGAGACAGGACACCAGCAAAGGTCAAGCCATTCTGTCTTGTTCCTTCATGCCTTTTGGGGACCCCCATATGCCAAGTACTCTTCTAGGACTGGGGACTTAACAGTGATCAAGAAAATTAAAATCCTGAAGTGTCTGCTCTTGGTGGAGAATACCATGTCTCCTCTTGCCTGTTTTGCTTTTGTGCATTGAGATTCAAGCTGATGAGAGAGGCAGAGCTGGCGGGGACTGGCATATCCAAGAAGAGTTCTAACACAAGTCCTCACTGTTGAAGCTCCTCTCTCTGAGTGGTGCATGGCTTAGACCTGATCTGACTTCTGAGACCTGGCCTGATTTATTACCCCAGTAAAAAAGTCCAAGGTCCAGCTAAACCATAGGTCTTGAGTTAGCTTCCCCATTCACTTGAAGTCAAGGACTTCTCAACAAGCAGGTCTGGCTGCTGGCAGCGATGACAATGTAATTAAACATAGTTTCTCATGGGAGAAATGATCAAGACGTAAAATGGGGTAAGGCTGGAGGAGAGAGTGGCAGTCACCTCTGAGTAAAGAAGTGTGGTGGCTTCTGTTACAAGTGAAGCATGAGTTCAAAACCAGGTGGTCTCATTCACTCTTTGGATTAAAAACCTGACCAAGGGCCGGGATAACTCAGTGGTTCTGCCACCTGCCCCACAAGTGCAAGGACCTGAGTTCAGTCCCCAGTACAAAAAAACCCTGACCAAACTCAAAACAGTATTGTATGCCCTGTGATCCGGAAATGTTCCCTAAATAGATGTATATATGTAGTCTCTTGTTATTGAGAAATCATGGCCCCCCAGGCAATGACTTGCATGGATAAGCATTCAGAAAAATATTCAGAAACCATGGGAGAGAAGAAATATAAAGCTTCTGTTGACTGTAATTACATAACTATCAGCATAGAGTGATAATAATAGAACTCTAGCAGAAGTTGCAATCTTTTACTGATTGCTCACTTTGTCCCAGCTTGACTGTTCTGTTCATTTATCTATCCGTCTGCCTGTCTGCCTGTCTGTCTGTCTTCCTAGCTAGCTAGCTACTGCCTGTCATCTGCCTCAGCAACAGGTAAAGTGCTTTTTATCTGTAGAGAAATGAAGCCACAGAAGCCAAATAACTTTTCCAAGGTCATATATGCAATAGGCCATCTGTGTTAGTCAGGTTTTCTTCCACTGGAACAAAATTCCTGGCAGACACAACTGAAAGGAGGAAAGATTTATGTTGGCTCACTGTTTCAAAGGTCAGCCTATGGCTGGCTGGCTTTGAGGCAAAAACATCACGGCAAAGAGCAGGGGGGAAGAATAATGCTTACCTCATGGCAGCTGAGAAGCAGAGGGCAAGAGGGAAATACAGAGAGGAAGGGGCTGAGGACAAAATATACCTTCAAAACCACACTCCCAGTGACTTGTTTCATCCAGGTCTCGTGTCCTAAAAAACATATTCTGCTAATGAACTCATCACTGGATTTATCCACTCAGTGAAGTCAGTTCCCTCATAATCCAACCACCTCTCTAGGAAGCTCTTCATTCCAGTCAAGGTGAGTATCAAGATAACTGTCATACCACCCAACTGGAATTTGAACCCAGGTCTATATGACACCAAACTTCATGTTCTTTCCATTATAGCAAACTGCCTTCCAGCTTATTCATCCACTGCAGATAACTGGACAAGAAGCTTTACAAGGCTCTTCCCAACTCTCACAGGAGATGATTCCATGATTGTCTTCATAATCACTACCTGTTATGGCTTGTGTCTAGATGTCCCCCAGAACTTCATGTGGTCATAGAGGGTGCTTTTCAGAAGTGGCTGGATCTAGAGTGTGATCCTAGGACTAAGTGTGTGATGCTGGGATCAAGGATGTGTGACTACTAAATTAGCCCACTGATTGGTTTAGCATAGTTCTAAGAGCAGATAATGGGAAGGTCCACCCTGAGTGTGAGTGCTACCTGCTCTAAGGGTGTGTGGCCTGGAAAGAATATAAGGGACAGAAAGAGGGCTGCTGTGGTTGCTTGCTGCTTGATGATTACTACTTCTCTGCTTTGCTGCCTTCCTGCCTTCTGCCCACCATGAACTGTTTCTCCTCTGTGATGCCCCTCTGCTATGCCACCCTGCCTAGAAGCCAGCCGACTATGAACTGAAACCTCTACAAACTGTGAGGCAAAACAAACCTTTCCACCTTTAAGTGTCAAGTTTTTGTCTCAGCAATGAGAAAAGTAATTAAGACACCATCTAAAGGCACTTGTCTTCTTGGGTCTTTGTTTCCTCATCTGTCAAATGTCCAGATACTCTCCAGAGCTATCTACCTCTAACTTCCAAGATTTATGAAAGGCAGAGTTAAAGCCCAAGGATCCCTTGCAGCACTTAGTGGAAGAAACACAAGAAACCAGCCCAAAACCATAACAGAAGGGTTTCCATACACAAGCAGGACTTATTTCCACAAGTCTTTCAGAAGTGCCCTATCCACTAAGGAGAATTTTGTACACTGAGAGCTTCATCCAGTTGTTCTAATTTGATGGAAAGTCAGCTGAAGAGGAGCTAACCAGTTTCTGGGTCCAGAATGCTGGGAAGACAGGATAGAAATCAACAGAGAGACATCAGAACTAGAATGACCATAATAGACCCTTTGTTCTCTGCTGCTTAATAATAGCAAGCTCGTTCCCACAGCTCTTTGTAGCTTGTGTGGTGCTTCCTGCATGCATCATTCCATTTAAGCAATGGGACAACCTGGCCAAATGGATAGCATTTTTGTTTCCATTTTGCAGCCAAGTTACCAAGGCTTGGGGATATTTGCTAACTTGTGATACTAGACTAGGATTTGCACTGAGGTTCTCTGATGTCTCATTCTTCTGCTACTTTATGTGTCCAAGTAGCCTCTCATTGAGGAAGAAAAGAAGTAGCCTGTTTATTTAGAAATTAATAGGTGTGTTTTTTCTGAAATGTTCAGAAAGAAACCCATGGTCCTTGCCATCGCTCTGACATTACCAGGTGCACTGGACCCCAATGGTGGACTGGCCTTGAAGCTAAAGGATATTAATGGCACAGCACAGCACAGCCAATAGCTGAGCAAATAGGGTGTGGTGCAGATAGGTCTACTCTGACATCAGATTCTATCAGCTGTGTGACCTTGGGTGAATTACCTGCCTTCTTTAAGTCTCACTATCCTGGGAGCATTAATAGTAGGTACCAGTATAAGATTGCTTTGAAATATAAATGAAATACATATGCAGTGCCAACCCTAGTGCCTGTCAAATAGGAAACCTTTAAAAATGATGTTGCTACATTTAACACTATTTTTTCAACAGAAGCATGTAATTTAATCAAAACACCTCTCTGCCCATACCCCCAGCAGTCCCACAGGCCCACACCTTACAAGAAAAAAATAAAGAAAACGAAGGCTGAGAATACTGATTTTCCCTCGGCAGACGAGTCATTTGTTAATCCCCTGAGGAGCCTTGTTCCAGCAACGCCGCCTCACCTGGGTGGGCACAAAGCATTTGCTGGGCATCAGGAAGGCAGCCAGGGAAGGTGCTACTGACACGTTCTGACAAATGCCACGCCTCCCCACGAATCTCTCCACCCAGAGGGCTCCGCACCCTAGTTCAGTCATCAGCATTCAGCTCAGCATCAAGGAGGGAATTTAAGCTACCAATATCCTCCAAATGTAATTTAAAATCAGAGCAGGAGAAAATGGACAGTTGGGAGAATATCCATTAACCTGATGGCATCTGTGGGTAGAGAAAGTGATAAGGAAACATCTGTGAAAGGTCATGCGTTTGCTGTTCTGTTTGTTATAAATTATGAGCTTCTGACTTCACCCTGCCTGGCAAATGGATACCTGGGGTACTGAAAAGTGACTGCATTCAGACTGGACATGCCTTCAATAGCAGTGACCACTGCTCATCAAAATACAACCCTCCCTGGTATCAGGTGAGGCATCCTCATACATCCTTTGTGGAGTGTACACTGGAGATGTCCTTTACACAAAGGACACAGACACACATAATGCATATGCATCCACACATGTATATGTATGCGTAGGTATGTTATATAGTCGTATCCTCAACTTGGGAATTCCCTTTCTGGGTAGCTGAATTACAGGAGTGATTTAAAGTCAGAAGAAAGCTTTATGCACAAAGCCCAGTCATTCTTTTGGATATTCAAATTGTCCATTTTCCCTTAAGAAGCATCTTTGGCTCATTTGGATTCATCTGCCCTGGACCTGGCATCAGCTACTTCTTCAAAGATTCCTGGCTTCTTTGGTAGTTGCTGGTATTTAGAAACGAGGACCCAGATGCTAGGAGTCTTCTTTGCTATGGAGTGATTTTGCTTCCAGTCCTTTCAGTGGATAGAGCTAAGCTATGTATATTTTAAATCCATTATTCTGTGATGATACAAAAAAAAAAGGGAAAAATCCCATTTGCTGTCATCAGATGCAACTCCTACACCAAATTCTCTTAAAACGTGAAAGTTAAGAGATATAATTAAGCATTTATTACATTTTTTGGAAGGTGGTGGAGAAAGATTAATTTATTTCTAGTCTAGGAGGAAGAGCTCTTCATAACAGATTAATGTCAACTAATAAATGGAGAAAGTGATAAAAATCGATGATAAACATAGATGGGCAGATAAGTAAGTAGACGGATGAAAAGACGGATGAAAAGAAGGAAGAAAAGCAGGAAGAACACAAGTGTGGAAGGGCTAGGAAAAATCATTTCACAGAACCAGTGAAATAAATTAAGGTCCCCAGCAGTTCCTGAAACTCCTGGGCTTATGGTGTCTGGAGGGCAGGAATCCCCACAGTGCTGCGATGTTAGCTGACAGTCACTTGCTAAATGCAAAGGGGAAAATGTACCTTTACAACAAAGAGATCTTGTAGTTACCAGACAGCCAAGATAGTGAACTCAGGATGACCTACGTGAGACCATCGGATGGCGTGTGTCTCCCGACACAGTTCAGTTAAAGTGAACAGCATCACGTGGTACATATTCTAGCCAGAAATGTCTACTCAGACCCTGATAAGGCTGCTGTACCTAACTTCCACTGCATAGGAAATACAAGGGAGAGGAAATAAGATAAGCAACACCATGAGAAAACCACCAGATACATCAAGCCCAGTCTCATGGGTCAGTATCATAGAAAACAGTCAGACAGTCACGCTAAAGTCAACCAAAGAGATAAGCAAAAGTGGCACACGAATCAGGATTGAATCATGTAAGGAAAAAGAAGTAGCTACGGAGGCAATGGGGAACCCTTGCTTACAAATAGAGAAATGAGTACAGTATGGACTTCCGACTGCATTGCACAGTTGTTACTGATTCCTCTACATGAGTGAGGACGGCACTGCAGTTATGCAGGAGAATGCCAGCATTCTGAGATGCCTGCTGCAGTCCTTAGGGATAAAAGGTCCAAATGGCTACAACTCACTCCTAAAACACTCAGCAAAAACACACTATACAGCCACTTATCCATACACTCCAATATAAAGAGTAACTATGGCAGAATGCTAGCAAGCCTTGAATTGTGGCAGTGGATCCGTGGCTAATCACTGTCCTCTGTAGTTCTCTGTACACTTACATTTTGGAATGAATAAATGTTGAAGAAAAACAGTGATTAAACCCTGGCATTTCTATTTTGAGACAATTAAGGGTTAATAATGCAGATGCCACGGTGTAGGGGAATTCTCATCATAGCACTGAATGAAAAGGAGTGAAGAAGACACTATTTAGGAAGGATGAGGACACGGTGCAGCGTGGCCCTGGCTGCTTCTCAGAGGAGTTGTGTGACTAGATGTCTCCGTAACCTTGCTTGGATACCGATAAGCAGCTTTCAAATAAATCTGGCGGGTGGCAGTAACTGGAAACAAGCCCTTCTTTCCTTCCAGTGAAATCCAGAGGCTTTAAAATGTGGGAGGCGGGTCCAAGAAGAGTTGGAATTAGAACATGTGCTTGAAATGCTCCTCAGAAGCACCCAGTTCAGCTTTCAATTAGAAACCTGTGAATTGAACCCTGGAGACAGGAGGTGCCCTGCCCCGGCGTGGCAGAGGTTTTCCATTGTGACATTTTGTTCAGGGTCCACTCAACTTGCTACCTACCACGCGAGGAGGAAGTCATTGGTGGTGTAGCTTCCTCAACACGGCTGTTACTGAGGGAAAGAGGACAGGTGAGGCAGCTATACCCCTTCTGCAGCCAAGCTGGGCTTTCAGGACCCACTTTCAGCTCAGGCCCATCCAAGGCTCTGACCCTGGGTGTCTGTTGTGGCTGCTGGCTTAGCAACCAGAAGCGGTCAGCTGTGTGACTGGCCAGGAAGTGCATGGGAAGCATGGGAGAGGCCAATGGCTACAGATGCTGGGTCGCCCTTTCAGGACGTCATCTGCGGTCTCCAGCCATGTCAGTCAGTCGGCAGCAGAGGTGTCAGTTGCTGGATCTGCACACTGTTGCTGGCTGCTTCTCTGGTCTGTGTCCCCCAGGAGACAGCATGCAGGGGGTGGGCTGCATCCTAAGCACCTCTCTCTGCCCCTAGGCCACCCCTACCTCGGCCCTGCCCCAGGAGGGCGCTGTGATCCTGACCAAGTGAATGGCTGACGGGGCAACGTGGTGACCTGTGCTCAGAAGAGGAAACCTCGCGGCACAGGAACAAGCAGCATTTACTTACAGCTCCTACACTTAGGAAGCAGAGTCCCCTAAGACAGGCCACGAAAACCCCTCCTCTGGCCAGGTCCTCGGGAGAGTCATTTGTGAAGTGCTCACAAGCATGTTGTCAGGGCCTCCGTTCTTCCCCTCTTCTTGTGTTCACCGAGAGGTTAACCCTGGGGTGGGACGCTGTTACGCACTAAGGTGTTGCCCTCTTTCAGGATGGAGGAGCCCCTGGTCTGGGGCCAGCGGAGGAGGTGAGAGTGCGGGGTGGTGCCCAAAGCAAGGGCCCAAGCTGAATTCTGACCTTTGTTGAGCACAGTGTGTTCCACATGTCGCAAGAGCTCTGTGGCCCCTGGTGTATTTTCTGTGGACTGGCCCTCCTGGACATTTTCTCTAAAAGGAATCTGGCATTATGTGGGCTGTTGTGACTGGCTTCTTTCACCTGGCTGATATTGTCATTGTCCATCCATGTTGGAACAAATGGCAGTATTCCTCTTCATGGCCAAATAATATTCTGTTGTATGGACAGGCCATGATGTATTTATCCTCTCATCAGCTGATGGCATGGGGGCGCCTGTACTTTTAGGTATTATGAGCAATGCTGCTACGGAAATTCACAATGCTGTTTTATTAAAGGTCGCCAGGAATCTCTGTGCTGCTAATTCCAATGGGCATGTCTCCGTCACTTCTCAATAACCACTCAGGAGGCCTGCTCCTAGTGTCCCGACGCCCTTCTCAAAAGAGTCACCTCTCTGGCTTGCTGTCCCAGCTCATTTTTATCATCTTCGTCTATCTTTGCCCTTCTCTGTCTCTTCGTCCACTTTGACCCTCTCCTGCCCACTGTCTACACAGCATTGCTCCAAGGTGAGTTGGATCCCAGCCCTGGCTTCCCTTTGGGAATGAAATCCAAGCTCTCTGAAGCCCACACGAACGGTTCCGTTCTCCCTCACTGCCTGGCCTGGGTGCTTGCTCTGTGGGAATCCTTTCTCCTCTTTCTTCTTGATAGCTTGCTACCTTCCGTCCTGCAGGTCTCAGCCACCTTCCTTCCCGCCACTTCCACGGAAGTCTTACACTCAGCACACTCCCTTTCGCCCCACACCGCCTCCTGCCCAGCTCCTGTGTGAAGTGTTTTCTTCTTGGCGTGAGTGGCTGTGTGCGCCTTTGCGTGTGTGTCTAGGTGTGCTCTGGACCTCACAGTCACAGCAGCCTTGTCTGTACTGCCACGTTTACTCCCAAGGCCTACCATTTAATAGCTGCTTAGTAAATATTTGTTGGATGAAGTGAAGAAATAAATAAATAGAATGGAAAATGAGGAGTTGGCTGAGATGAAATGAAATAACAGAGGAGATCTGTACGTAGTTGGCCAATTCGAAAGGGCTATAAACGTGATGGAAGTCCTCGTTGCCCAGCCTCACGGGACACGCTGGTGACTCAGCAGCCCGGCATCTTCCGGGAGTGCGTATCACACCGCTCCACTCGCAGCCTGCATGGCCTTTGCTCCTAGAAAACACCTTTCAGTGTTCTTGAAAAAATCCAGCTCTGCTGTGCCTGACTGCTCAACTCAGTCTTCCCTCTCTCCTCTCCCTCCCTTATTGGCATTTACACTTAGACAGTGCCATTCCACACTCCTGGGGGCCTGGGTGACACCCCCATGTGGGGCTAGAGCTGTTTGAGGGTCCACGCCCACCACTCCTTCCTCTCGGGAGGAAAGAGAAAGACTCTCAGTGAACACAGACTTGGACATCATGGGGGCAGACCAGCAGCTGCCATTTACCTGGGAAGGTGCAACGGGAACTGCTTCACACCTGCTGGACCCCAGCGGCAGAGAGAGCAGCCAGTGCCAGAGAAAGCCCTTGGTCCCAGGCCTCAGGGCCTTGCTCCACCTCCCTGTCACTCAAGTCCTCCCCGCTCCTCCTCTGCAGAGCAGCAATGAAGGAAAAGCAAGGAAAAAAGAAGCTTTCTTCCCGTGTTTGTGGAAGATCAGAAATTCCTGCAGTGCGAAACCCAAGTTTGTGGTGCAGGGAAAGGGATAATGGCTCTTCTGGACTCTACCCTCCTGAGGTTTTAAAGGGATGGATCAGGTTTTGAATTGAGACTCACATTTGAGGGTAAAAGGATAAGGAAGCTGCACAGAAATTGTATATGAGTCAGGACTTAATACATAATCTCAAGAAGTGTTAGAAAAATTCACTTGCCAGGAGCTAAGTACAGGCCAAATGATTTTAAAATGACCTCAAAACAGATACCTATTAAATCAAGTGGGCTAAAATATGGGAAGCTTAATGCATTTATAAAGCTTTAAAAATTTCTTGTTCCTCAGTGGAACTTTGGCTTAAAGGGCTCTTAGTCACTTCAAAGCACTTTAACTTGGATTCACAAAATGACTTGCTGAAAGGGCACGAGGTTCCCCGATGGCCCGTCCCCTGCCTCCTTCGGCTGTCACTTACCGTGAGCTCTTTGCTTTTAGCAAAAGGCCACCAGCCACGCACACGCTTTTGCTGGAATATAGAGATCTTGTTCTCTTCACTTGCATTTTCAAACTTGGAGAGGTCGCAGGCTTTGGCAGATTTGGCTGCTCGAGGAAAGCTATTGAGGTTCATCTCCAGGGAGCCTGTGAAGGGATGGCCAGGTTATGGGAAACTTTTTAAAATTAGGAAGAGCTTTCTAATCCCCATCCACACTCACTCATTCACTCCCTGGTCATTCAGTCAGTATTACATCGCATGTGGTGTGTGCCAGGTACTGGGAGCCTAAATATGACCAAGGATGTCTGATAAGAGCATGTCTGAGCTAAAATTCGAAACTAAGCCTCAGGTTCAGGTGCTAGCCCAGCTAGGTACCCTCTGTGCTCCCCAGTGCAGCTCCCAGAGTCGAGTCCGGAGGATGAGCCTTAGCTCCTCCTGCCTTGCACTGATCTCCCTGTAGGAGTCCCGCCCTCCCTACTGCCCCTCACCTACCCCTTAGGGTCCACTACACTCCTGCAGGTCAGGGACCAGGTCTTCCTGCCTAGGCGTCTGCTCTCCAGGACAGACAACAGAGCTCAGTGGGTTCTCTACAGTGGCTTCTCAGAGTGAGTGAGGTATTGCCACGAATGAGCATTCTATAGCTCACTTTCCCACCTTTAGAGCACGCATGTCAGCAAACAAAATGAAAATAGAAAAATGTCCCTGATTCCACCCCTCATATTTGGCCATAGCTCTCTGTTTTGTTACCTAGCCCCCATGCCCCGCTCCCACTGCGTCTTCCTTCTGCAGATATAAACACATATTTTGCAGAAACAGGATCCCCTCACGCTCCTTTGCAATTAAATGCATCTTGCACAACTTTCCAGCTCGTTAACTATTTCAGTATTTTTAATGGCTGCAGCGTTAGCACTTACTGAGTGGTTGCTATGTGGCCTGTACTTTACTTGCGCTGTCACATTTACAGCTCCACCACCCCTGAGTTATGTAATATCACTATCCCCATTTTACAAAGGAGAAAAGTAGGCATGGAGCTCAGTCAAAATTCAACTACTTCTTAGTGATAGGTCACAGATCATCTTAAGTCTCTGTGAATGTATGTAGTGGTCTACCACATGCATGCACTACAATATATTTAGATAATCCCATCTTAAGAGGCTGTCTGAGCTGGTTCCAAAGTTTTCCCATCATAAATAGCACTAAAGTTATTACCTTTGCATGTGAATGAGACTCAGCTCTCTAAAAGCTGGGACAGAATCCTCATCACTAATATGTGCTTGAGGAAGTCCCTGACTTACCCAGGAAGTCATCTGAAGACAGCCTTTCAAAATCCCACACCTGGAGCACCAGCACAGCTGGAGTCTTGCACTCTGTCTTCTCCAAGGAGAAGATGTTCTCCCTCTTGGTGATGACCATTTGCTTCTCCGCTGGGAGGTACTGAAACGGAAACAGGAAGCGCCAGTTGAAGTTGCCCTCTCCTGTCAGGGAGTTGTAATGGACGTCTGTCTCCTGCTTGTCATCTTCCAAACCCTTTAGCCACCTGCAAAGAGATTTTTAAAATGCAAACACTCAGAATACATTATAATCAGGCATCAATATAATCAAAAGTGATTTAGCTAGTTTCAGTGTGGTCACAGATCATGGTTTTAAATTTATTATATAGTTAGATTCAGATGGAAGTTTCCATTGTAATTTGAAAAAGGAAAATAGGGATCGAGGGGAGTGGAATGGAAATAAAAGCCATTCCAAGGCTCCCACAGTATTACCCAGGGTAACTCAGGAGGGGTGAGTTTTGCACACATGTGATTGTGCTATGTATTGTAAGCGTAAAGCTGACCAGCTGGGCAGGTGTCTGCAGCTGTGTGAGTAGACCCGAGTGAGGCACATGCTATCAAGCTGGGGAGCTCAGGAAATAGGGAGAAAGTGTAATCGGAGCCTCTGTCGCTCTGGGAGCTCCCTAGGTAACGGGCTCAGCTCTGTCTGGCTGGCTTGGACTTGTGCTGCTAGGCCTGGAATTGTCTCCCTTCTCTCTGGTTCTGGGCCCAAGAGCCCGGGAGGCCTGGATCAGTGAGGCAGGGAAAGTAGAGGCTGCCTGTGCCCTGGGTTCCAGTCCTGACTCTACCCCCATTAGCTGTGCAGCCACAGAGAAGTTATTTAATTTTCAGTGTCTCCATTTCACTTGTAAGCAGTTATAGTACCTGACTCCCCGGGTTGTTCAGAGGAATTATATGAATAATACCTGTGAAGTGCTTCAAGTATTCAAGATTACCTACACTATTCTTTCTTCTTCATAGTATCTGATCTTCCTCCTCCATGCCCAGCATAATGTAAGCCATGTTTAATAAATGTTTCCCTAGTACTTTATCCATGGTGAATTAGTAAATTCAGAAAATGAGTACTTTTAGCCAAGCTAATTGATAAGACAACCATTTGCATTCTGAAAGCAGAGATCTCTTCTCCCCAGGGCAGAGTGGAGACCCTCCCTTCACACCAGAGTGGCAACACACCCATGATGTAGCCAACAAAACATGAAAACAACAGAGACAGAACAGTATGAGACATGAAAAGGGCCTAGGACAGTGCCATGGGCCATCCAACTGCTAGCTGGGGAAATGAGCTTTCAAATCACCAAGAAATGACCAGCATGGAAGGAGGAAAACCAGAGAGTGTTGCTGGGGAGAGTAAGGCAAGAAAGCATTTAAAACAATATTCAGCTTTGTCAAATGCTCCTAGGAGGGCACTCAGATGAAGACTAATTAAAACAATAAAACCCAACAAGCCCATCGGCTCTGGCGATAAAGAGAGCACGCTTTAGTGAGGACTGCTTTGCAGAACATTGGGAAGGGAGCCAGTTGCAGTTGGGTGAGCAGTGAGTCGGGAGGAAATGGAGGGAGTGAGCAGAAATAGCTCTTTTCCTCCATTTTAAAGGGCCGGGGTTCTGGAAGCCTCAGCCTGAACTCTCCCAGAACCCATCCATGTTGTGAGCCAGGATAAAATATCTTTTTACAGGATGCATTAGTCTTCCTGAATTGGTGATCAGAAAGCAATTTCAGAGGATCTTAACTCTGCTTTTAAAATATTATTTATTTTGGGCCACACTGCTTCTGTTGATCTTTTGTAATAACCTAAGTCATTGCTCTACTCTTATCCTGGAAATTGAGAATTCTGTACAGAATACCGTACATGCTTGGACTGCCAAGCACAGTGACGATGTGCATTCTGAACACAGGCTGCTGCTTCTCACTTGGGAAACACAAAGAGATGCAGGCGTGAGGTAGATACGAGTTTACTACTTTGGAGATGAACAAAGTTAGCTAAAATACAGATTTAAATCACGGTTTCTTCTTCTACCTCCTTATCCCCCTCCCTGACCAGGGGCTGAAAGGAAGCAGGACCAAGATGTAAGACAGAGATAACAAATGCTCACTTCCTGGGTAGGTTGGTATTGTTTGTTTGTTTATCAGTAGCCTTAGCAAATGGGGCAGTCTAAATTTTAACTTTTGCATTAGTCATATAATCTGCTAAACATATTAATCCTTCATTAATAGTATCTCATCACTTTATTTTTTTCAGTTTAAAGATAGACATTCTTGAATGTCACTTCAAAAGCTTACAGGCAGGTAGGATGGCGTGCACTTATAATCCCAGCACTCTAGGAAGCTGAGGCAGGAGGATCATAAATTTGAGCTTAGCCTGGGGAACTCAGTGACTCAAAAACACCCTGTCTCAAAATAAAATTAAAAGGAGTTATGAATGTGGCTTGGTGTGGAAGCCCTTAGTTCAATACCCAGTATTGGCAGAAAGAAAGAAAAGAAGGAAAGAAAGCAAGAAAACAAGCAAGCAAGAAATCAAGGACTGAAGGAAGAGGCTTAGGTGTCCAACATTTATTTAAGTGGAAGATGTTTATATAGTAACATTTACTCACTAAAAATATTTTCATGAGATAACTTTCATCAAAATGACAAAAAGACAAGCATTTGACAAAGCAAGAGACCTTATCTAACAAAGGGAGATGGGCTGCTTGCATGGATTGTAGGTGTAGCATCTTCCCTCAGGTATAGATTTGGTTGGAGATTAAAAATGTGGGGAGGGGAAGGGATGGAAGGATGGAGTTTGCTGATGACCTTACCCTTTAACATAAATATCACTTGACTTTTGGCCTGTAAAGATATTCTCATCCTCTAAAATGACATCTTCAGTGTTCCAGATGGTCACCCTCAGTTCATACCTGGGGTGCAGAAGGCAACATTAGGATGATGACCTTGAAAATGTAGTCAGAATGTGTTGCTTTTGGTTCTCCTCACATCTGTTAACAGATGTGTTCATAAACATCAACACTCAAGATCTTGGCTGCATCAGAATCAAGTATCCCAGTGGAAATCTCAGACTACCCAAGGGCATGAGTTACTCTGAGCAGATCCTCCTGTTACTCGGCATTTTTCAGAGGAGGAACTCCAAGCTCAGAAGTCACCACTTGGTCGGCCCTCACTGCTGCTGCAACTGCCGATGGAAAGTGAGGTTGGATTATCCGTGTCCCACACCAGATCAAAGATAAGGATATGACCTTTTAATCTGCTACCACGGCCTCTGCACTTCAAGGCAAGTGATGCCTGCTTACCCTTTGGGTTTCCTTGGCGAAATGTCAACAGGAGGTCCTGGCTGAGGCATATCCTTGGGGAACATGTCCACCCACATCTGAAGCCGGCCCTTATTGAGAAGGGAAGACCTCTTTTAGCTTTGGGAGGGACAGGGCATGGGTAAATGACCACTCATGGTTTTAAAAGCTCTCTTTACTAGAAATGGGTAGTAGGTATAGCTCAGTACCTTTACACATGTGTAGAAATATTTGTTAATTAAGACAGAAGTTATATTTTTATTAAAGATTAGTCAAAGTGTAAGTTAAGCGTGGGGAAAGGGCCCTATGGAACCCCTATTGTATGGAAGACACAGTGTTACGTACTTGACTCACATTATCTCCTGAATTCTTACAATATCCCCCCACACACACCATGGTTCCCATCTTGCTTACCATGGTTACCCAGAAAAATGTGTCAGACTCTGCATTCAACCCTTACCTGTTGCTTGGAGAAGCCCCATTCCCTCTACAAATTCCCAAGGAGTAAAAAGATAACAATACTATCTGCCAGAAGTATCAGGTTTCATTGTTTCCAATGTACCTAGCATCCATTATCTGTTAGTGCTCACCCCAGCCACACGTCTGCTTTACACACAAAGAAAGTGAGGCTCAGAGAAGTGAAAGAAATTGTCTGAAGATCAGGGCTGACTCATGGAAGAAAAGACCTCACCGGCGTCCCTGTCCCTTGAACTTCAGCCTGTTGTAAGAGACTTATCAGCCAGAGGGGGAGAGGGTGGGTGGATTTCATGCTTATCTCTGTTGTGCACTTTTAAGCACACATCAGCTCAGACAAGAAGGTGAATGGTTGACCCAGACTGTGATGGCCAAGGTGGCCAGGGAGGTTTTGTAAAAAAGACGAAGTTTCCCACCAGAGCATGAAGGAAGAGCAGGATTTGGGTTGGAGGAGCTTTGGCTAGAAAAGAGGTTGGGGGGCACTTTTCAGAAAACAAGCAGTGCAAGCAAAGGTTAGAATTTGGGAAGAAAGAGCCAACTCATGGAGTCCTGTGCAAAAGTAGGATGATTTATTCTCTAAAGATACATTAACATTCATCCTTAACCAAAAAGCTTAGTTTGATAACTCAAATCAAAAAGGAGAAAGTACCAAGTCCACCACTGAACCCAGGACAGGATTTCTCAACTTCAGCATTATTGATATTTTGGGCAGAAAACTCTTTGTTGTTATGAGTAGGAGACAGACCTGGGCATTATAGGATGTTTAATTTAGTAGCATCTCTGTCCTGTACCCACTAGATGCCAGTAGCTCTCCCACCCTCTTCTAACAAATAAAAATGTTTTCAGACATTGCTAGATGTCCTTGAGGGAAAAGATCCAAATTTTCCTTGAATGAAAATCATTACAGAAGAGCACAGGAGATTAACATTTGGGGACAAAGCCCCATTTCTTGGGGATACACACTGCTGAGACAGCCAGAGCCATCTTGCCCATTACCTGCTCCATTCCTGGCTTGTCCTTGTGGTACAGCGGCCGTGTTTCTATGTGCTCAGGAACCAGCCTCCATCCCACCTCCGGGACATCCTCCCAAGAGTGCAGGACCTTGAGGGCCAAGTGCTCATAAGACTCCACAGCCTCATCTGCAGATGGAAGGACAGATGGAAATCTGTTAGCTGTGCCACCTGCAAAGAGACAGGGAGGGCTGCCAGAAGCATGTGCAGATTCCTCCCTGAGAGGTTCCTTTAAAATGGCCTGAGACAGGGGGAGAGAAAAGACAAACAGAGAAAAAGGAGATGGATACAGTGGTGGGAAAGAGAAAGAAATGGGAAATTTAGAGATGAGGGAAATAAGGTGGGTTGACAAGAAGACTGAGAGACCAGTAAGGACGCTGGGATGGGGCCCCATCCACCCCTGAGTCAGATTCCGGAAGAGTCTTTCAGTCACAAGCTGGATTCCAAGCACCAGCGAGGTGGTGTCATCGGAGGGATAGGACTATTTCTACCAGCACAGTGGAAGGTGCTGGGGAGCAGGCAGCCCCAGCAATTGTTCCTGGAGGTCCTCTGCCTCTTGTTTTTGACTGGGGTCTCCCTCCTACCACCACCTGCCCCTGGGAAGGTCCTCTGACCTGTCGTTCTACCACAGGGCCTCATGAATGAGAATACTCACACAATAAGATGAAAATTCTTGAAAGAACAAATTCTTGATAGTTTAAAATGGCAAAATTTGATATAGGAAAAGTGAAAGTGGCTCTAATAAAGAACCATAAAAGAAATCTCCTTGTGGCAATAATTATAACAGTGAAAGCTGAGGAGGTTGAACAAGTAACCAGTGAACAAATCCTTGTCATAAAGTTTAGCCAATTAGAATTGATCTTATGAACATAATTTCACATTTTAATGGGAAAAATAGTAATTGTTTAATATTAAAATGTTAGACTCTTGACCAAGGAACTAAAAATCTATTGTGAAAAAATATTTTTCTTGACAGAAAGGCATCAATATGTCATTAATACATAGCCTAAATATCAATAACCCTGCATGCAAGAACCTTCAGTAAGTTCTTGGGGTTATAACAACAATGTAAAAAGAAGTCTTGGTGGCATACTGTGAAAATATCCTGGACTATGCACGTTCTTTATTGGGCTCTGTATCAAAAGCACTGAGCCATTACAGGGAAACATCAAATGCATGGATGTGACAGCACAAGAATTGTTCTATATAGCTGAAGTAGAAGTGGCTTTTTTTCATCCTACATTCATGGAAGCCTCTCTGGGCTCTTCGTGGTGCATCCTATGAAGCTCATATGGAAAACCCACTTCTTGGTGTTAAAATAGGAGAGTTATTGGTATAACATTTGAGGCGGTAACTTGAGTTGTATCTAATTAAATTATACAGTATTTATTTTATACAGCCTACCTTCTGGAACAATTCCACTTCTATGATCTATAATTGAGAAACACTGAAAAATGCACAAAAATATGCATAGGGAAGTTTGTTGTAGCATTGTTACTACAAGAAATTGAACAGAATATAATTAGATGGCACAACCATAAAATGGAATATTATCTATGAACATTTCAAAAACATCAAGGAAAATCTTCATGATATATTGGATATAGAAAAAGCAGGACACACACACACACACTCATACACATACATGCTACAAGGAAATAAACCAGCATGCAGCATGGCTATGTCTGGATTAGGGTTTGTAAATGATTTTCATTTTCCTGCTTGCTTTCCTTTATTTCCTCCTGTCAGCATGCACTACTTTTGTAATTAGATGCCCACCTCCCCCAGCCACAGATACCACTAGCACGAGGCCTTTCAACAGAAAGAACTTCAGCAGACACTTTGCAGGAAGTTACCAGAGTCCTCTTCAGTGAAGACTGTTTTTCCGGAAAAGACCTTGCTTCCTATCTGTATTTTCCCAGGGCTAAAGTAGGGTACATCCAGCCCATTTTCTCTGCAGAGCTTGGTGAGAACTTCTGTGGGTTTGGATGTATCCCTCCAGGCATTGTATCCTTCTCTGAAAAATGAAAGCGTAGATGAGGTGAGGCCTGCTTTCCCCTGAAAAACACGCGTTGAGATCCCCATTAAACAGGCCGCCCCAGTATGACCTGTGCGGTTTTCGGCAGACTCACTTGTCATTCCTATGTATTTGCGGCTAGTGATTTGGTTCGTTTTCTCTTCTTTCTGGTTCTTTGTATATGTACAGTTTTGCATATGTCCATGTAAGACAGGACTTGTGAGTAATTTAACATAAAAATCTTTTGCAAGTAGATTTGATTTATTAAAGTACTGTACCTTTCTTTAAAAATTATTTGACGTGAAAGTCACATAAAAATTAATCATTTTAAATTTGACCAGTTCAGTGGCATTTAGTGTATTCACGACAGTGTGCAGTCACTACCTCTATCTAGTTCTAAAAAGTTTTCATCACCCCAGAAGGAAGCCCTGAACCCATAAAGTGGTTACTTCTCTTCTCCCCAGAGCTTCGACCATCTGCTTTCTTTCTGTATGAAATTCTTGGCAGTAATTATTTTTAGTTTTTGTTATGTCCTGAGTAGAACAGTCATTTGGCCACAACTTATTCTAAGAGGAAAATATTGCTCATGTTTTTAATTTCTCTGCTTCTTTCATCCCTTCTCTTCTCCCACAAAAAATTATTATAGACTGGGGTTATAGGCAAACAGTCTTCAGGTGTTGTTGTTTCTCTAAGCAGTGGTTCTCCTACTGGTGAGTTTCTACATCTTCCCAATCCTTGGATGAAGACTGTGTTGGGTGCAACAATTGAAGCAAAGATTATTTTTGTTATAGAGTTCTATTGGTATTTTCATTGTAGTTCATAGAGAAATTTATTTCTGATGTTATCTTTTAGATTTTGTAAACAGGTACACAGCTGATGTGAAAATGTTGATGTTTATTCTAAACACACAATACATATTAAGAATTTAATACTTTATTTTATTGCTATCTTATGTTCCTGTTAACTACTCATTATATAATACAATAAGAGCCCCTTAACAAAACAGCAAGACCAGCAAGATGTTAAGTATGTCCGACAAAAAGGCCAGGAAAGCAAAACACATGTGCTGTCAGTGTAAGCGATATGTGCGTATGGAACCTGCTGTTGTCATGTGTGAAGACTGCATTAGGTGTGATAAATGAAGTAAAGATTATTTTTTGTAGAGTTCTATTGGTATTTTTATTGTAGTTCATATAAGAATTTTTTTATTTTTTAAACTTTGTACATGAAAAATAGTCACTATTGAAAATTTTGATGCTTTTTTATAAATAATAAATATTAAAAATTCAATACTTTACTTTTTGATTTTTTTGTTAAGTACCTATTATTTAAAATAATAAAACTCATAAAATCAATTCATCAATATTACTTTTTTTTTTTGGTACCAGGGATCGAACTCGGGTCCTTCTGCTTGCGAGGCAGGCGGCAAAATCACTGAGCTAGATCCCAGGCCCAATTCATCGATATTACTTCATCAATAGAACTATTCTAAAGAATAAATGTGGGTATTCTATACCCACAATATACCTTTATGACAAAATTGGTGTTATGCCCCGCAATTAGGAGTGTGAATTGAGCCAGGCATGGAGGTGCACAACTGTAATCCCAGCACTGTGGAAGGCAAGGGCGGGAGGATCACAAGTTCAAGTCCAGCCTGGACAACCTGGAGACTTAGTAAGATCCTATTTCAAAATTTAAAAGGTGCTAAGGATATAGCTCAGGTAAAGGCCCTGAGTTCCATACCCAGTGCATAAAAGTGTGGACCGGCATGACCTTTCTGGAGGATCATTTGGACATTTTGGACACAGGTATATTAAAAGTCCTCAAAATGTGCATTTCCTTTAGTGGAATAATCCACACTGATGGATGAACACAGGGGTACCTCGGTTCATGAACTTGATTCTTTCCACAATTCTGGTCACAAACTGAGTTGGACAAGAACTGAATCAAATTCAATGGTTGGGCTCAATCCTGACCTTATGGGGAAATCTAATTTGGTTCTTAACCTGTTTGGTTTGTGACCAGAATCTTGGAGAGAATTGAGTTCATGAATTGAGGTACCACTATATCTAGTGAATTATCAGAGAGGCATGCAATGGCTTTTGTATGAGAATGCCCATAGCAGCAATATTTATAAAATAATAAAAAAGAAATGTAAATGACCTATAGTTTAGGAAAGCAAATTGTCATACTATTTTATAATAAACTTACATGATGGAATACTATAGAGCTATTAAATTAATGATTATTAAGAATATTAAATGGCATTTTAAAGTACCTAAGATATAAGGGTAAATAAAATAAGCAGGTTACAAATTGCAATGGACAGTACTCAGGGGAAAACAGCACAGAAAAAAATACTAAAAGAAAATAGGCAAAAGCACTTATGCAAATTACTTCAAGGTAGAATAATTTGCACTTACATTTTCTAAATTTTCTATAATGAATATATATTATTTTATATTCAGGAAAACATTTTTACAATTACATCATGGAGTGCCAGTTAATGTTTTTCTATTTTCCTAGTTGAAATATATAAGTTTTTTAAAAAGACATCAGCTACAACATACTTTTTTAAAAAAATAAAGCTGGTAGTCTGCATTTTAAAATTAAGCAAGATACAAAATCTTTGCAAAGAGTAAAAGTTGTATCTCTTCTTCCTTTATTGTAAAATGAGGCCAACGCCTCAGTGGGTTGTTGAGAGAACTGAATGAGATACTGATGTGAGGTTCTCAGGACAGTGACTGGGATATCAAAAGCGCTCAGAGCATTACAGAATACAGCATTTGCATTATACTCATCATTATTCTTCTAGCCTCATTCCTCACCTGGGAATGATGGCCCCAAGCACAGCTGATTGAGTGAGCAGGATTTGACATTTGACTATTTGAGAACCTTCCTTCACTCTAAGTCAGAGCTGCCTTTTCAGCACCAAGGACCCCAAACTACCCCATGGACGTGGATCCCATCTGAGGTTAAAATGGAGCCTGGCCTCCCTAGAGATGGACCATAGGACACAGGGCCCAGAGCTGTGGCCTCAGTCCCCCATAGTGTCTCCACGGGAGAAAGAACTTACACTTCATACTGGCTCTGCAGACCACAGATGGCCCGGTGTTTGCTATAGAAGCGATTCTCCAGGTCAATCTTGGTTTCTCCAATGAGGTCATCTGTCCCAATCATGTCATGGTCATAGATCAGGATGGAGAGCAGGGACTCCTTTGGGAATGTGGCCTGGATCTCAAATGACCTGCAGTCCGGGCAGAGGCTTCAAGAGTCAGCAATGTTTGACAACACAGGGAATTTCCCCCAGCTTTGCCTCTGACTCGCCTACTGTGCATATAAATCCCCCAACTGCTTAGCAATTCCGTTAAGACTTTGGATGTTTATTTAACTTCTCACTGAGGTACAACCAACTTCCAATTCCTTTGCCAGTTTCCATTTTCCAGCACTCTCCCCTTTTGTGAGCTTTATCTTGTAGGCTTCAGCTAGGGATTTTGGCCTCAAATAGGACTGATTTTCAAATTCCTGGTTGTGAAACTTCCAGAAAGTTTTTTTACTCTCTTTCAGGGTCCTTATGTGTAAGGGAGTTGAATAGGTGTTCTTTATAGTGATTGGTGGTTACAACAATTTTTCATGCTACTGAGTTTCTGCATTATAGCAGATGATGCTTGAGTAAAACCTTGCGTTTTAGGGAAATATATTCCTAAAAATAAAGGCAAGGACACCCCATTATTTTTCCAGCAATTGTACACTACATTATATTCTCTTTGGGACAAGATGGGCTGGAATCAAGGGATAGAAAGGAAGGTCCATTGGTCTTTCTAGGCTGTTGTCCTCATGGTCAGATCCACTTAGCCCTGACACTCACTCTCCAGTGTGGCACTGCAGTCATGGGCCTGGGGTCCCAGGCTGGCCAGGAGCCAATTAACCCTCCCCAGGGAGCAAAAGCAGAGATGCCCTGCAGCTCCAGCCACTGTAACTGACAGAGGTGGCTCAAGTAGACCATGAATGTGGTTGCACAGGAGGAAACCACATGTTCCATCAAGGCACAGTGTGGCCCCCTGGGTTCCAAGATTTGGATTCTAAGCTCAATTGATGTTCTTGAAGATCCTACAAGGAAGCCTCCAGCATCTATCCTTGAGCTTTCCATCACCATGGCTGCCACTATGGAAAGATTTAGTAAATGCTTAACTGTCCCAGTAACCTGGACAGTTGGCCCATCTCCCCAAGCTGTGCTCATGGATGAGCCTCAATTTTAATTGCAGCTGTCATTCAAAGAGTTACCAAAAACAGCCCATCCCCATTGTGGCTAGAATCCAGTCACCCAGGACAATCTAGGTGCATATCAGCTTGTGCGTCAATTACACACTATCGTTAGATGCAATGCTACCTTGAGAAAAGATTAAGAATTGAGAAATGATCGCTTCTTGGCCTTTTGGCTAAGATCAAGTGAAGAATTGAGAAATGAGCAAAAACAGATGGTGAAAGCAGAGCCTCTGAGCTTCGGAGCAAATATATGCTGTTCCTTTGTCCCTTCATTCATTCTTTAGCTTAGCCATTTGTTCATCTGACATTCATTATACATCCACTACTTTCTGAGTCCTGTAAATTTTAAGATAAATAGAATAACTTGAGTGGTTAAAGCAGACAAGAAAGTGGCTAAATAAGATGGCACTCATGGTGCTGCCCTACAGGCATCATAGAGGAGAAACAGTTCATGGTGGACAGAGGGCAGCAGAGCAGTGAAGTAGCAAAGCACTAGTAGCAGCAGCAGCGACCATCATTCTGTCCCTTATATCCTATCCAGCTACCTGCCCCTAGGGCAGCACCATGAATCAATACCAGTATCACATCCTTGATTCTAGCATCACGCACTCCAGATCCAGCCACCTCTGAAAAAGCCCCACCTATGGTCCCATGAGGCTTTGGGGGACATCTAGACACAAGTCATAACATTCTCCTCCACAGCTCTCAGAAAGAGCTCATGCTGCTGACATGCTGATTGCAGACTCCTGGCCTCTAGAACTGCGGGACCATACACTTCTGTGGTTCTAAGCCAACCAGTTGAAGGTTATGGCAGAACTACAGAACTAATGAGTGTGTGTGTTGCGTGTGCATGGGTGTGTGTATAGGCACACACACCCATGCGACCCACAGTCTCTTCCTGTGGTAGAAGCCTGGATGGTACTCACGGTTCCTCCCACACCCTCTCCACTCTGCACTTGGCATGGGCTGCTTTCCAGTCCATCTCTCACCCACCATGATACCTCAAGAGGCCCAGGTGCCCTCCCAGTGCTTGTGCAGGATTTGCTCCACTCTATGGAAGCCTTGGAAGCTACAGACCACCAGAGTCAGAGACAAGGTGGATTCTTAACAACAGTGAGGAACAGATGGAGTCCTGTGGGTAAACCAGGAAAGGGAGGGTGCCACAGTTGAGGCACAGCGAGGGGAAAGGCCTGCAGAAGTAAATGAGCTGGAGGAGATGCAGAGCTGTCCTGGTAACCCACAGCCCAGCTCCTCAGGTCTCATTATTTTATTCATGTTGACTCTCAAGGCAAGGGAGATGACAGAGGACATTTGGGACAGGGTGAGAGCTGCAAGCAACTGCCAAACCCCATGGACATGGACTAGCTCAAGATATGCACAGTGACAAGTCCCATCAAGTCCCACTGGCAGGCCTGGGGTTGTGTCTGGGCATGTACTCATTCACGCATCCACTCGCTCATTCATTCCATAAATAATGATTGAGAACTTTCTGCATGCCGAGCCCTGCCTTGGGTGCTGGGATGGGGCATCGACCAGGGGAGACTAAGGACCTGCTCAAACAGCTCCACCGTTCTACTGCAGAGTGAGAGTGGGCCAATAAGCACTTGAACATATCAGTGGGTGGCAGAGGCTATGAAGGAGAAAGCAAGTCAGGGCAAGGCGCTGGGGCACCAGAGTGGAGGCTGCAAACACTGCAGCACTGAGGTCCTAAGTAGGGTCTTAGGGCCCAAGACAAAGCCCACTGCTCACCCTGCTGGGACACTCTGGAACTCAGCTGGCAATCTGTGCCTGACTAACATCCAACAAAACAGCCACACCTGGAGAACCTCTGGAAGAAGCCCTCAAAGACAGGCTGGAGGGAATATTCCACCATCCTCTTTGTTTCTGCTGCCATATAGGGCATGAGAAAACCAGTCTAAATCATGGCACTGTGGCAAATGAAGGTAATAAAAAGTGACAGCAAGCACTTGGCAAAACGAAGCGCTTGGTTTCATAACTGGCAGGTCATAGTAAAGGTGATCTCTGGCTCAGGGGAAAGGGTAAGTTTCCATGGCACTGTCGTTTTAATCATTCACATAGTCTGCATAGGCAAGAAAGTTTATTGCCCCATTTCCTCAGGAGCAATAAAACCTAAGAGGCTGATCCTGAGCAAATGTCAGAAGCTCCAAAGTGATTACAAATGAGTAAGTGGATTTAAAAGGCATGGATAGAGATTTCATCCTGTGCTCCTTAGTTATTCGGGGGGGGGGAAGAAATTAAATATACTCAAGAAGTGCCTGCTGCTACCATTCCAAAGGAGAAGGGGAAAGGAGCTGCTTGGTTTGCATGCAGATTCTTCACATATTCCTCCAAAGGAGTCAGAGGCAAGAGTCAGGTCCGTGTGGCTTTACAGATGAGGAAACCTAGGCTCCAAGAGAACGAGTTCGTCTGCAAGAGGCTACACAGCTTGTCTGTGGCAGAGGGAAACCCAAGGTGCCTCAATGCCAAAGTCAGCAGCAGCCAGGTGCACAAACTGAAGTGGAGCACGTTAGTGTGTGACACCCCACCCGATCAATGAGAATAGTAGGGGCTACCAAAACCTGCACAAATACAGTAGATTTTAACACTTTTCAGGCAAACAAAATAATTGGGGGATGCATTCCACCTTTTTGATGTCAGAGATCACCTAAAATAAGCAGCAAAATGATATTCTGGGAATATCTCTCTAGTAGAAGCAAAAGACTAAACATCTGACTCCTTGTCTTTGAACTATGAGCTGTGTAGACTTGGATAAGTTTCTTAAGTTTGCAGGATTTGGTTACCCTGTTTATAACAAGGAAGTCTGCTCTTTGTGCAAAAGCAGTATGTGAAATCTGATGATCTTTAAAGATGCCTCAAATTTAAGATGTAGGAAATCACTCCTAGAACATTATGTGTATGAAGATCACCAAATCCCATCAAATTACTGAGGGGACCATAGAAAAAACTTCTATCTCTCTCCACAAATATGGATTTTATTGGCTGTTCTTAAGGATAGAAGTCAGAATCTGACCTCCTATCACTAATTTACCCAAGACTCCCCACCCCATCGCGCGCACACACACACACACACACACACACACACACACACCCTCCAAGAAACACAGCATCAATACAGAAAGCATAGCATAACACACGTAGCATGGCCACTGACCTTCCAAATACTGGATTTAGCTGTTTGGGGATGTATTTGTCCCGGTCTTTGATTTCTGTCTTTCCAAGTCTGAGCACAATGTAGGGATCTGATTTGCCATCTGGATCAGCTGGGCTTAGATTAAATGCCTGAAGAGGAAGAAGAAAATCCCTTTTGTTCCAGCAACTCCACACTGGCTGCACAGGGGATAATCTGGTGCTTTCATAAATACACGCCTGAGTCCTAGCTCCAGACACTGATTTAATGGCCCTGAGCTTTGGGATTTTTGAAAAGCTCCCTGGTGCAGCCAAGATCAAGAACCACTACTTTAGCATCTTGTTTTATTGTTAAAATAAAAATGACTATTTTCACTGAAGTTCACCTTTGTCTTGTGTCATCTCCCCAGCAGAAAGCAGCTTTGGCACAGAGTCACGAGGAATATGCAGGACCAGAAGGTAGAGGGCAGGAGTTGAAACCCTAGTTCTAGCTCTAAGTAGCTGTGTGAGTCACGCTGTGTCTGTGATCTCTGTGAGACCGTGGGGTGCACCCCAAGGCCCCCGCAGCACCAGTGGTCTCTGAGCCCAGGACCCCACCAGTCTGCATTTGACAGCTGCATGCTGATCTATTACGGATCATCAACTCCAGTCCAGACCAAGCTATGAAAAGCGAATACTTTGTAAGGAGAGGCCATGGTGGGGGGCTGGTTAGGGATGGCTTCAGAAAGATGGAGAAACTCAGCAGTGGTGAGAGCCGTGTGAGAAACGATCCAGTACTTAGAGTTTTGTCCTGCAGATAAAGTGGCATAGGCACATGAAGCTGTATGCTCAAGGGTGTCCTCGGAACATTGTTTAATAACCAAAACCACAAGCAACTTTACCTGGGGAGAAATATGACCCAAAATAGCTCCTCCTGTGTTTCTTCTCATCATGGAACCCATTTTCACTCTCTGCGTAGCAGCTACCCCTGACATTAATCTGGGTATTTATCTGCCCCTGTGTTTATTCTTGTGTTTCCTAATCCCCACACCCCTCAGACTTGCATGCAATCGCCGTGAGAGTGAGGGCCCTGTCCTTTCATTACTTTATCTCTAGGACACATAACTAGGTCTTCTCAACATTTGTTGAATGAATCAATACCAAATTCAGTCTCAAACACACTATGCAGCTACTGAAGACAGAAGACCTATATATACACCAATATAGAATAATGTCTAAAGTATCCTGAAAAGTAAGAAAAAAACAGGTGAGGAAATTTGATTTACTTCTCTCAACACAATTTTAAGCAACATTTTAAAACTTTCTTTTAGTGTTTTATTAAATTGTTTTAAAATTAATTCATTATATAGTTAATTAACTACGTATTATCATAAGAGAGACAGCCACACACAATCACCATGACTGGAAAGGTTGGTGAAAGCACCGATTATGCATAGCTGCAGTGGCTTCCTCACACCCCACACAACCCAGGCAGCCACCCTCTGCCTTTGTTCAAGTCCTCAAGTTCAGCTCAAGACCTCCCGCCTCCCTGCTGCCACCTTGGCCGGACCCTGAGCTGCAGCCCTGGCCTCTGTCCAGAGGGCACTGGACATAAACAAAAAGAGGAGTGCAACAGACAACTGCCGAATGAATACATGAGTGGGGGACAGAGCCTTCTCCAGCCGCTATAGGCCATGCAAATCTCTCCCTTTCCTTCCTAATATCCACACTCTGTTTCCCCTCAACTCTGTCCCATAAAATCTTAGTTCCTTAGGCTTTATTTTTGGGGGGGAAGATGAATGTGCAAATGAGCTTTGTGAATCTCAGGAGCTAGAGAAAGGAAATGAACTATTAGATGCATTATTTCTCAAAATTACTTGAACACACGGTGTTTCTTGAGGAATGCGCATTAGTTATCTTCCACGACACAAATCACTTCCAGAATAATATCCTGTTGGTAGATGTTTAATACAGACTACGCAGTGCTGCCTGTGGGTCCTCACAAGTGCTGTTGATCTTCCCCAGCCAGGCCATGACTTCCCTGAGGGAAGAGACTTGGCTCTTTTCATCACAAGGGCCCCAGCAGTCAGTGCTGAAGGAGACCTAAGAAATGCTTCATGAAGAACATTTACTTCACCCTCAGCATTTCAAAATGATTCACTTTTGTTTTGTGCTTCATTTATGCTTTCTAAAAAGAATATGGGCAATGTAAACAAAGTGAACATGAGACTGCTGCAATCAAACGCAATTATGAAAATCAAGCCCAAGAACAGAGGGTGAAAAACCTATTAACTGTGAGAGTTCTGTCAGCTGCTTTGAGCCTAACAATTTTATGGTACTTGATCCTCAGGTTCCTGTCAACCAGGCCAAAAAGTTCCCTAATTAAAGTTCGGGGCTCTTATTATCGGAACAGGGGACACCTAGAGGAGGTCACATTTTACTTGGAAATACATTCAGAAAGAATGTTTAAGGGCAGAGGCACAGCCTGGGGAGAATCCCCCAGTGGCAGCTCCCCCTTCCGCCTGGCCTCTTCCCTCTACTCTCCCGCCTGTGAGCTCCCTGCTTTGGCGCTATTTGGTTTCCTTTCCTACTAGTAGTCAACCGAGGAGAGCAAGCTCCTCAGAGAAGTCCTAGGTGCCTGGAGCTATTTTCTCTGAATAGAAAGCCAGGAAATGTTCTTCTTACTGATCAAACTCCATAGACTATTGTGAGCTGAACTGTGAGCCCCTGATGCACATGGGGAAGCCCTAACCCCCAGTGTGACTGCATTTGGAGACAAGGCTTTAGGCAGATGATGAGGTCCAATAGGGCTCTGTCCTTCTAAGGAAGCAGGGGGTTCCAGCCCTCTCTACCCGACACATGCACCCTCATGTGTCTGCTCAGAGGAAAGACCATGTGAAGACACAGTAAGATGAAGGCCATCCACAAGCCAAGAGAGCCTCACCGGAAGCCAGCCCTGACAGCACCTTGATCATGGACTTACACCCTGGAAACTCTGAGAAGCAAATTTCTGTCACTGAAGCTGCCCCATCTGTGGTATTTTGTCACAGCAGCCCATGAGGACTGTTACACCCCTCAGAACAAACAAGGATGGCTCACCGCGACGATGTACACCCTGATCAGGACCTGGACGGGGTGATTGGGTGGGATCCCTTGCTGGATTCTCAGCTGCCCCTTGTCCTCAGAGCTGGACTCCTCGGGGCTTTTGTAGATGCAGAAGGAGCCCTGGAACCACAAAGCAAAACTCAGTGGAACAAAGTGGTCATAGGTTCCACCAAAAATCACAGAGAGCCTGGTGCCGGGAAACCGAGCCCAGCCTGGGTGTCAGTGGAGCCTGGGCTGGCCACCCTTGCCAGATGGAGGTGGATGTCCTTGGGCAGTTCATGCAAGTTGCTGGCCTCTGAGCTTCTTCCAAGTGTGCTGGTGGATTGGGGTTGGTACATTAACGACCTTGTCACTGAACTGTTAGGTGAGGAGCATGACAGATGGCATCCATGTGCCTTTTACCTGTGGGGTGCTATACTTGTGCTTCCCCTCTTACCTTATTCTATCCTGACTGCAGAACTCCTATCTCCAGAGGCAGTCTATGAGGCTTAGAGAGGTAAAGTACACTGTTCTGGCTAGATGGTGTAATTCGATTTAAATCCAGATTGGCAGAATGGGACACCTTTGCAACTTCCAGCTCACCACGCTGCGTATTAAAGGCAATAGGTGGATGGCAAATGCTAGCTGCCACCTTGTGATTCTGATACCGTGAGCCAGCCAGATGAAGGGCTTGTGCTGTCTGATTAGTGTAGCTGTCCAACTGGTAGCATTGCATAAATCAAACATTTAGTGTCTTAGGGGTGGGCAGAGTAATGTTCAGGGGTCTTTTCAGGTGGGAATGGCCCTGTACAAGCTACAGAACGAGCTCCAACCCACTGGCCTCAAAGACTGAGCTAGGTCCTGAGTAGAGATTAAGGATTCCTTACACATATCCTGTATGACAATACCATTTCCATAACTGAGTCCTAGCTGACACTGAGGGTCAAGGTGAGCCACAAGTTCACATGGGAACGTGCCTTGAACTTTCCTATGCTGCGATCTCCATCCAGACCATGGTCATCCTCTGTGGATTTGCCTCTGAAGAGCTTGAAGGTTTTCACCCAGTCTTCAAAATTGTTGAATTCACTCTCGAGATCACCATCATATATCTTTAGGAGAAGGAAGAAGATTATGCCAAGAGAAAGGAAGTCTCAGGACGGATTTAGCGAGGGGTGTCAAGATTCTCCCAAACAACCCCTTACATGCACCCCTTGGGAAATGTAAGAGGCCCCTGTTAATTTATCTTCAACAAGATAAAGAACATGGGCTGGCTCAGTATTCCTGGGACTATTACGCCAAATGGTATAAAATCTTTCTGGTAAACTTTTAAGTCCCAAGAAGTACAAGTATAGCTAAACCAAAAAATATTTAAATATACAGGCACAAATATGACAAGCCTTTTTATAGTTAATGGATATCATTGGTTATTAGACATAGGTTATAGTACTTTGAAAAAAATTCAAATCTGTAATGTTCATTAATTCTTAGCACACAAAGTGATGTTTGTTTTTATTATAATTCAGATAGACATAAATTTTCCAAGTAGGCAATGATATATACACGTTAGGAATGCAAAATGGAATTGAGTTTTGGGTTTGTAATATAATTAAATTACCTATTCAAATTTCCTGTCAAAATTACTTACCCAAATTGACTACCTACATGCATAATCTTCATTCTCTAAATTTCCATCACCATAAATACACCTCTAATACCCTCTGGCTAATGTTAAGACAGATCTGATGCAGCTGACTTTAATAGGAGTGAGAACTCCTGCTATTCTGAGTGTGTGCACATCTGCATGATGATGTCAGGCTCCAAAGGATGAGCCCAGGGGAACTCATACACTGTAAGTTACCTTGCCAGGCCCAAGCTAAACAACTTCAATTATGTTCCCTCTTCATAGAGGGGTGTAGAAAATAGAGAATGAACAAGCTCCATTGACTTGGTTTTACATGCTTGTTAAAGTTTTCTTTTCTGTGCATCAGTGATTATAGCAAAGACAAAGTAAGATAGTTTAAGAAAGGCAACACTGGGGTTGACCAAAGTACTAAGAAAACCCCACTGGTGAGATCAAATCCACGCCGGAGCTCCTGTGTCCACGCACCTTCAACACAGCCAGGTTGGGGATTCGGTCGTCTCCGCCGTCTTTGGGCTTCTTCTTGAGTATCTTGTCTTTCTTCTTCTTTGGCCCATCTTCTATTTCTAACACTACCTCATCTGGCTGGCTCTCTGTGGATATTCAGTGGAGATTGTTAGATTTCTCCTGGCGTTAGAGACGAGAAGGAACAAAGCCAAGCTCCTCCTAACCCTTCCTTCTGCACTGTCCGGCCCCTTCTAGAAAAAGATAAAGTACCTTTGTACAGCGGGATTACGTAGCCTGTGTGCCATGTGACTGAAAGGGGTGCCACTCACACAGAAAGGCAATGTTTGCGGATCCTATGGGGCCACAACCCAAAGGCCCGCAGTGATGCGTATGTGTAAGAGCTCTTTAAGCAGGCACAAGAGGGTGAGTTATTTACTCAACTATTAAAGAAGAGACCTGGGTTTCGAAAGCTTTTAGTCACATTGGCTCTCAAATATCTTTAGACTAAAGACTCATTGGGTTCAACATGAGATTCAAATATTTAAGGGTCTCGTGCAAAATCATGTTGGTGAGATTCCGTAGTAAACATTTAGCAACAGGGCCTGGGGGAGACTGCCAGGGATGGATTTCTGGCTCTGCCATTTTCTATCTGTGTAACCAGGACAGGTTAGGGACCTCTTTGCTTCTGCCTCATCAGCTGCATGATGAAGACACTATTGTTGTCTGTGCCATGGGGTTGGTCGCAGAATTACATGTGCCGTGAAGCAGTGGTCTGCGGCACTGAGCAGCCCACCTTCCCCCCTTCTCTCCTCACCTGAAACACCTGGGCTGCTTGCTGTTACTCTGTATTCAGGACCCAACCCCCTGTCAGCTTGAATTGAGACTGTGGTCATTTCAAACCCCAGGCTTCTTTCATTTGAGCCTCTGCCAAGTCAGATCCGTCCAATCCTTGGGAGCTGACTTTTGGAATCTCATCCAGATCTTTGCACTCACATCTGCTGAAGTTTATCCTGCTGGATTTGGCCTGTCATTTCAGTTTGCTCCTGTGTTCACTCTGCTGTTTCTACACTAGGACAGTCAAGGTAGGTCCTGAACCAAAGACTCAACTCTGGTACTGAGCTGGATTCAGAGCCCTGGGAGCTCAGTCCAGCCCAGTCAGCCACACAGCCTTTAGAAAGTGTTATCCTCTCCCTGAGATTGCTTCCTCACTTGGGACATGGATCCAGTTCTAATCCACCTTCCATGGCTTCCATTTCCCACCTCTCTCGCTTCTGTGCCCCTACTCTGTGGCCCAGTGTCCTCAGAATTGCTACTTACCTGGGTGTTCTTTTTTCTCCTTAGGATCGCTCTCCTTCTCCTTTGAAAAAGAGGAAACAAGATTATTGACACCTCTGTGCTTAACTTACTAATCCTAAGTGCTGCTAATAAATCTAACTTGATTAGCCCACCTTCCTGCATTCACGGGGATGCATTGTAAAAGAATATTCCAATGCACTCCCACAGAAGCTCCCAGACTGAAGCGGCATGGGGAAGACATGGGACCAAAGTGCATGGGATGTCCTGCCTGCTACCTGTACAGCCAAGAACAGTGCTCCAAGCTGTAGACATCCTTGTTCTATAAGGACAGAGCCTCTTCTCAGCTGCAGGGAAAGCAACCTCCCTCTACTGCCCCTCACGTCCCTGGAGCAGCCAATCAGGATGAACTATGGTTTCATCATGTTGGATCCTTGGGCTGGTACCAGGGGTTGGGGAGGCCAGCAGAGAAAAAGTGAAGGGCCACACACTCACAGGAAGTGACAAGAACCACCACAGGAAAGGAGCGGTCAGGGCAGGAGCTGACATGTGCGTTGTTCATGTACTGTTCATCGGTATTTGTGAGCAGTCCTAGATGAAGCTATCGTCTTTCTAAACTAAAGAGTTACTAGTGCCTAGTCAACCATATATGACGATAACATCTGACTGCTTCTCCTTCCTTTTAGCAAATCTTAATTCAATCACAGAACTTTTCCTGAGTTTCCAGACTCACACTCCAGCTTGGCAACTTGATCCTTGGCTTGTTCAGTGTGCACAAGGCCCTGCTCTTTCTCTGGAGACTCACTGAGTATCGCTACTGATAAGACCAAAAGCTGCTTGAAGCTGATAACTCCCCACATGCATGTGGCACCCTGCTGGAGACCCGAGGCCCTGACCTGGGGATCTCCGAGTACACCTGACACGTGCACATCCCACTGACAGTCACCTGTCAAGAATCTCCTTGCTGGGGACCTTGGAGTCTGTCTCACTGGGGTGCAGACCCTCCAGATGATGTGCTGCCTGTACCTGCTTCTCAGGTTTATAGCGAAGCTAGTGTCTCATGCCAACTCCAGCCAGAGGGCAGGCTTTCTCAATCCTAGACGTTTTACTCCTTGGCAGTTAACAGACACATACTGGGGGGGGGGTGCGGGGTGGCTATGTACACAGGACTTTACAGGAATCCCACATATGTGGGATTTGGGCAGGAGAAAGTGCCGTGTGCTCCCTTTAGGTCATCTGACTATTGTAGGGCAGGGGACACTCTACCTTTTGTGCTTTCTGCAGGGAGGCATAATACTTAGACCACCAGTCAATGACATTTTCAGCAGATTCATCCGCTATGGTCCTCTTTCTCCTCTTCGTGGATCTCCGTGAAGGCTTCCTGACATCCTACCAAGGAATGAGGGATGAATTACTAGCTGGGCTTCATTTCATTGGTTAACTGAGGAAGAGAACATATTGATACCTACTGGGAGGTGCACAGAGGTATTTGCTGGTTTTGTGGAATCTGCTTTCTGTATCAACTCAATAAATGAAAGTTTAACCATCTAACACCCATTCACCCCTTCGTTCAATAAACATTCATTCAGTAGACGTGACACATTGTGCTGGGCCAAGGGCCACAGGGGGAACTGGGCAGAGTCCTGCATTTGGGAAATGTAGAGCTCAGTGGAGGAGGTTAGCATGCAGTAAAGAAGCGCCAGCCTGTGACTCAACATGGTGCAGCAGAAAGGGCATCAGCTTCATAGAGACCTGGGCTACGAATCTTAGAGCAATTAATATAACTTTTGTGATTCTCGGTTTCTTCAGTAAGGGACAACAATACCCGCCTATTTCACTCTTGTGAGGACCGAGCCACATAATGTAGGCAATGCCCCTTTAGCTTCATTCCTGACTTTAACAGGTGCAAATAAATGGCACCTGCAAGTGATGAGGTAGGAGACACCATGATGCACCTAGGCAGAAAGAAGGCATTTGGGGGAAAGGCCGCTGTTGTGCTGGAGGCTACACAAAACTCTTCATGCTTCCACCAACTCCCCTGCCCCAGCATCTTCAGTGCCCATGTGCACCATGCACTCTGTTAAAGGTAGGGCAATGCAGAATATGACGGCAAAGAGTCATCTCTGATCTGCTGGCTCCTCAGTTTCATCTTGTCAGCAAGCATCAAGCTGAGAACCCAGCATAAAGAGAGAGGCGGCGCAACATGGACAATGGGGAGGACTTGGGAGGGGTCCCAGTGGCCCCTGGAGGGACCAGATGCACACAGCCTGGCTGATAGCTGCCGTTCTGTTGTATGTGTTATTTCCACTGTTAATGTCCACTGGACGAGCAGGGCAAAGACTTGCTTAAAATAGCCTTGGATTTTGCACTCAAATTTATGGCTTGGAAAGTTGGCCATACGCTTGGCTTGCAGTTCTTTGTGTACTTTTCCACCTTCCCTTCCAGAATCTCAGCAAACTGAGGATGAGAAGTCTTACTCCTCTTTACAGTCAGGTACCTCTGTGTGGCCCCATATAACCTCATTCAAAGCAGGCTCCAAATGTGTGTAATAGTCCTGGGTGAAGAGCCCACTGCCTTCCCAAGACAATGCATTTAGAAGTTTCTGTTCAGTTAAACATCACTGTCACATTTGGCTAGTGCTCTAATTTCATGCACATTGACCTTGTGATTCCACAACAGTGCTCTGAAGTGAATATCAATATCCTCGTTTTACACATGAGGAAACAGATACTCGGAAATGTGAGTTGCTGGCTCAAGGTCGTATAGCCAGTAGTGGGAGGATTTGTGGCCAGATCCTCCAGTGTAAATGTCTGGGAACCTTGTAAGCATGGGGGGGTGTCACTGTCTGACCTTAACTTTTCCATCTTTCGGCGTCTCCTGGGCTGCAGGTTTGTGCTCAGGCTCCAGCATCGGGGATGAGTCGGGGATGTCGACCAAGATGGCTGGCTGCACCTGGGCAGAGTCAGGTACCACGGTTGTGGGAGGCTCAACATCCACATAGACGTGATCTGTCGGGGGGTCCTGTGAGGAGCTGGGCAGTTCAGAAGACGCACTTGCCATTAGTGAGTCTGAAATAGCTGAGATGAAAGTATATTCAGTCAGGGGGAGGGTGGCCATCAATCCAGGGCAGCTGTCTCAGGGATTTAATACTAGGAACAGATCTGCACTAATCTGGCAAGTTCCTAACATTTCCAGACCTCATTTTCCTTATTTACAAATGACAGTAGAAATACCCATTTCACTGGGGATAGAATGAGATTATTATATAAGGCACCTGGTGCATAACAGGTGATCCATAAATGGTTGTGGTTGTTACTGTTCGCTGAGAGAAATTGTAGTCAATTGTGGACATTGGGACCATGGAAATCCAGGTTTACAGCAAGGGCTCCTGGTCTGACTACTACTGCTCCCAGTGTATTAGCTCGGGAGCCTTGGGGGCGCTCCAGGATCAGTGAACTCCCGTGTGGAGGCAGACTCTGTGCACTGGGGTGCATGTGCTTGGCAGGGAGCAGAGGTCTCCATGGACTTTCTGAGGTTCTTAGCTCCAGGGACACTACACTGTGCTTTGCTGTCAAATGCCCTCTTCTCTGCAGTTGGCAGAGTACTGTAGGGTTCAGTTCTTAGGACAGTTCCCAGTCCTTTCCCAAGGCTGCTGAGGCCTCCATGGCGTCTCCTTCCTCCAGTTGTTGGGCTTTTTATGGCAAATTCATCCAAAAAACTCTTATAGGTCCCTACCCCTGCTGGATGCAGAGACAAGGAAGCTAGTAGTATAGACCAGAGAGCTCAGAAATAGGCAGGAGATGCACAGAAACTTGATTTATGGGAAAAGTGGGATCTCAATGGGGAAAGAAATGACGATTAACAGGGCTTCAGTGGGACAATGGTGCACTCTACAGGAAAGTGCAGCTGGACCCCTAACGTCAGTGCAGATGCAGGTGGGTTAAAGATCTGCATGTGAAAACTAAAATCATAAAGCTAATTGAAGAAAATATGAGATTGACGTATTTGTGACCAAAGAGAGAGAAAAGGTCTTTTAAGCCAGATTTTAAAACTGTAAACCATAAAGTTCAAAACATGGGTGGATCTTATTGCATCAAAATTAAGGATTTCTGCAGAGATGGAGGCTGTAGACAAATTTTGTAGTTACCCTACTGGGAGGGAAAAATACATATATAATATATATATTTACAGAATATTAGCATCTCGAATACACAAAGAACTTGTGAATCAAAAAGAAAACTCAAGGAACCACATACGACATGAGCAAAGGACCTGAGTAGGCAAATCACAGAAGAGAAGATTAAGAAGGCAGCAAAGACACTAGAAATGGATAAATTCAATCAGAAAAATCTGAGCTCAAGTAACAATGAGTCGCTACTTTTCATTCATAGAACAGCGAAAATCAAAAGCCAAACAAACCAAAAGAGAAACTCCAAAGCTGCTAACAGGTGCTGCTGAGGAGGAGCAAGCGAGAGCCAGAGGCAGCGCTCTAAGGGTAATCAGTGCGGCCTCGGGCGCGCCCTCCGGCGGTCCTCGGTGGAATTACATGAGCAGGGTCCCTGGGCCCAGGGGCACATTCCTGAGAAATGCCAGCCAGCATCTTCTCTCTGGGAGTGTGCACAGGGATATTCACCCCAGCACTGCTTGTGGAGCGGGAGCTGCAGGCAGCCTAGGGACCCAATATGAAGGGAAAGGAACAGCAAAATCTAGAAGGTACAGTAGGTAGCAGTAAGGAGCTGATACACGCACAGGCAGAATGGACACGTCGTAAAACATAGCGAGGAGACCGAAGGAGGACTGCTGCGTCATGCCACGTATGAGATCAGATGTGCTTGGGTTTTACAGGGGAGTTAACGTGGCGCCTACAGAGGGAGGAGACTGCAGGTGGAGATGGGAATGAGGCCCAGGAAGACACCGGGTATGAGGCGGAGGCGCTGGAGTGGATCGGTGATGATTGTGCAGCACGGAACCGTGAAACACGCTTAACTCAACTCTGCACAGCTGACACCCAGAGTGGAGCAAACTAAACTGGCGCCTAGCACAAACCTGAGACGGATATCAGAGTAGAGGGTTGAGGGCGTTAAAGTCACAGCCGGATGTCTCCTAGAGGAGCTGGCCCTGACCTGAGTCTTATGGAGCTCAGCAACAGCGGAGGCAGAGGAGCCTCAGGAACAAAGTCAGCAGCAGCCGGGCCCCTCAAGCCCATGGCAGGCAGCCAGGAGCCTGCAGCACCGGACCCAGACTCGCAGTCCAGAGGTGGGAGGAGCTTCCTACCTGGCTTGGCTTGGGCCACGTCCATCTGTGAGGTCAGGGCCGGGGGCTCTCTGGGTTTACACAAAAACTGCTTCAAACAGTTGATGGTGTAAGTGCCGACGAGTGTGCTCCTCCCGAAAGCTCTCCAGTCCACCACGCAGATGCTCAGCGGTGGGTGCAGGAGCTCGTTCTCAGGCAGCTCCTGCAGAAAAGCTGGGGTGAAGCCCTGCCTGGCTGACCTGCGGCACAGGCCAGAGCCAGTGGGGATCCGCCCTAACGATCCCTGCCTTGCTGTTCCGCCCCTCACTCTGGCCCTGCCACTGCCAAAACCCCAGGGGGTTGTCTTCCTAAGCCAGAGATCAAGCACCAAAATACGAGCAACGTCTGCCAGTGCAGCTCACGTTGACGTTACCCAAAGCCCATGAAGGTACGTCAGTCCTCTGAGGTCACCATCATTGGCCACCATCTCTAATGACATCTGCCGCACCCCCATATGATCACAGGGGAGCCCTTGGACATGGGGGGTGGGTGAGGGGACAGCACCTGACACTCGTCTCCCTGGTGGGCCCGCGGCGTGTGGAACCCCACAGTCCTCAGCCGGAGTCCTCCCAGCTTAAGAGCATGTGTGCTACGAAGCCCACTGAGTTTAACAAAGCACACTGTTTCTGTACAGTTAATTCCAAATTAGAATTCCAAAGCACATTGCAATATTGAAATGAAAAGAAGTGCAGGTGCCAATAACATCATTTTAGAAGCATAAGTGCACATGCAAACTACTGACTTTCTAAGTACAAACGACTTTTTGAAAAAATCTAGCCAGGGCCGGGGATTTAGCTCAGTGGTTTCACCACCTGCTGCGCAAGTGCACGGACCCAAGTTCCATCCCCGGTACCAAAAAAAATCTAGCCATTAAAATACGCGTCAATGGGCTGTCTTTTAGGTCAGCGGTTCGCGGACTTCAGCATGTCTCAGAATCACCTGAAGGGCTTGCTGTTCAAGAACAGAGACGCTGGTCACACGCAGCAGTTTCTGGTCCAGCAGTGCTGGGCTGGGGCCAGGAACATGCATTCCAGCAAGTTTCCAGGTGATGCTGATGTGGATGAGGTGGGAACCACTGTTCTAGGCAAAAGTTTTTCAGTCTGTTTTGATTTGTTGTGTGGTCTATGCTTGAAAATTGAAAACGACAATGCCAAACACCTACTTTATCTCATCCTGAAATTCTGCCCTTTCACAATGACTCCACTCTTTCTCACAGCTAATGCACATCCACCAAGCCCAGTGGATGAAGGCATGCGGCCCATCTGGGGAGAGTGAGAAGCAGGGAGTGAGGGGTCCCTACCACTTCGAAAGTGTCTGCCTGGACGCTGAAGTTGGGGTTGTTCTTGTAGCTCTGGATCACACAGGACTTCACTCCACGGCCCCCACATTCAATGAGAACCTGCGGCCGGTCCACAGAGAGGAGCTGCACCTTCTTCATTTCCCGGACTCCCCAGAAAAGGACCTGAGGAGCGGACCCGAAGTGATGTCACTACAGACCAGAGGAGGAGCCCCTGCAAGGCCTGTGGTGCCAGAAGTCACATGTGCCTGAGGACCCCCTGTGCACCTCCAACTTGTGGGGGCTCCTTCTGCCTCTGCAGCTGGATGGGGTTCCTCTGGCTTAACTTCCAGTCCCGCATCCCCCCTCCCACGGTGCAGGCGGGACTTTCCCTGGATCCCAGGGCAGCTCCCACCCTCCCGAGCCGCACCTCCACGCGGTATTTACTCAGCACAGGCCGGATGTTGGCAGGAACTGGGTAGATCTGGGTGACATCCGGAGTGTCAATGGGAGGAAGTGCTTGCAGCCCAGCAGCAGGGACCTGCACACAATGGGTGCTGGTGAGAAAAACCCCGCTGTGCCACAAGATCATCTCCCAAGTAAGGGGCCACGGTCTTGTGAACTTAAAATGCAGTAAGGACCACGCAGTTTCCATGTTTAGTTATGTACTTCTGCTCTGCTGTGTGCCCCTCTACAAGTCACCTCCCCTCTGAGCCTCCACTCCTGAGCCCAATGAACCTTCAAGCCTCTCAGGAATCAGATGTCCCACAGAGCATTGCTCTGGAGCAGCATCGGTTCTCTTCACCACTGTTTGTCTGCCTGAAATATTTGCATGACTTGGCCGAGATAAGCCTTTGTTTACTTCACTCCATCCTCCAGGCCCCTCAAGGAGCGCTCCTTGTTCAACGAGCTCCTGATCAATGTTTATTGGCCGACTGACACATTAGCCAGAAAAATCCCGATGTTCATGGAGGGCCACAGAGCACAACATATCCCTTCCCTTTGCACAGACAGAGTCTGGTCAGCAACGAGCAGACGCGCTCCAGCTGATTGCAAGAAAGCTCAGAAGGAGGAGAGCAGACACTGCAGATGCCAAACAGGCTCCAGGTAACGAAGCTGCAGAGGAGCCAGACGGGGAAGCTGCGGTGAAGGAGAGACTAGGTGAGCAGGGCAGCCCGTGGCAGCCCTCACTGCGGAGGCAAACTTCTCTCCTCCAAAGCTCGCGCCACAGAGCACCTGGGATGCGGGGGCTGGAGCAGCGGCTCTGGACGCCCCTCGAATTCCCTTTTGATTTTTGACGTATGGCGATTGTGCACATTTAGGGCTGTGGTGTGCACGCATTCAAAGCGCAGTGCTGAGGTCAGGTAAGCAGCAGATCCACCCCGAGACTTTGATCACTCCCTGTACTGCGAGCATTCGAAATCCTCCTTGCTATTTTGAAAGCATCAATTGTCGTCGTGTGCTAGCCCACTGTGCTGTGGGACATTCCTCCTCCTGCCCAGCTTTACGCTGTTTTAGCCACGAACCCCCTCGTCCCCACCGTCCCTCCTGCACGGCCCTGCCAGGCTCTGGAACCGCTACTGTGTGCTTTTTAATGGCGTCCGGATTCCTTGTTCTGGGGCTTCGAGGTCCCAGCCTGGGCCCCGCCCCACGTTAGCTCGAGGTCCGGGAGAGCTCTGCAGCTCAGTGGGGACTGCAGCTCAGTGTCCCGCAGCACGGGGAGCACAGTGACTTTTCACAGTGAGAGGGGTCCGTTGCCGGCTGGCCTATAAAGCCACGAGGAGCGCAGGCAGGCAGCGCACAGCGCCCAGGGAAAGTAAGGATTATTATGAAGCAGAAATGGCGAGAACCAGGGAGACCAGGGCCCCAGCTGCAGGGCTCAGCGAGGGTGGGGCTGCGAGACGAGGGAGGCAGCTGCGCAGAGACACTAAGGAGGCCCCACCCAGGGGCGTTGTGCGGGGCCTGCGGGCTCTCTGGAAACCACCCTGCTCACCTCGGTGCTCCCTTCTCTGCCCTCCGTCTCCCTCAGCCCCCTCTTGTCCTGTGACACTGCGGATCCAGCACAGGGCGAGGGACTGGCTCGGGCTCCACCCCTTGCTAACTGTGAACTTGGGGCAGTGACTAGGGGCCTCTGAGTCTCAGATCTGTGTTTGTGGAATGATGCTAAAGATGTCCAGTCCAGGGATCTGCTGTGAAGAGCTACTGAGACCGCGTGGAAGCCCTTGGCATACTTCCTGGCACAGAGCAGCTCCCTACGAGTAAAGGCAAACTGGAAGTTTACTGACTTTTGCAAAGATTAAAGCTCAACCTCAAATCATTCAGTCTCCAGTTGGATACAGACGAGCTAGGACTGCGGGGGGGCCAACCTGCCTCAGGTGTACATTTAAATGCTCTGGAAAGAAACAATATCACCCTAGGCTCTAGATATTTTCTCTACATATTGCTATATACAATGTGCAGCATGCAATAAAGTAGACCGTGCAGGGAAATATGACAGTGTGACTAAAAGCCAAGAGAAACAGCAATCAGAGGAGCAGGCCCCTGGAGGAGTCTGAAGGTGTATAATCCGGTATGAGCTCTAACAACAACACTGAGTCTACTCAGCAAGGCCTAGGACGGAGAATCTCAATAGAGCACCAAACCTATCACAAAAAGGAAGAAGGAGGAATTCTATGACTAAGGTGTAGTCCCTGGGAAGACGACCTTAGCGAATGGGTGAAAACAAGAACACCACTTTTTAAGGCACAACAAGAACGACACTCAACTTTTCAACAGAGAAAGGGAAACCTAAAGAATGGGCTGGTAAGGCCGGGGGATGTAGCTCAGTGGCACAGTGCCCGCCTCGCAAGTGCAAGGTCCTGAGTTTGATCCCCGGTGCCAAAACAAAACAAAACAAAAGAATGGGCTGGTATCTTCAGAATGGTGGAGGAAATTGTCGCCAACTGACAAACAAAAAGATCCCAGAGGAAATGTCCTGGGCCCGAGTCAAAGAGTGAGTTTGTGGAGAGCCAGAAACAGACCTGAGCATGGCTCTCACAGCAGTGGAGCTGCAGCCAACAGTGCCGCCCAGGACCTGGGAGGAACGGGGACAAGAGCCAGGACTGTGCTCTGGGGCTGGTCACCGAGGAGGCCAGTGTGGCCTTCATAGTCAGGCGACTGCCTGAGCTTCCCTTCAGGACTGCACGCCTCTGCTGGAAGATCCTGACAGTGGGTAAGGCCTCAGCCTGCCTGCCTTCCCCCACTCTCCTTCACTTTCTGGGTGCATGGCTTCTGTACAGTCAAGATTAGCAGATCATTTACTAAGAAATGACCTTACCTTTATCAAGCACACAGAGATGCTGTCTGGAGGTAATCCAGTCACCTCATTCAGACTCTAATGGGATGATTTAACGAGTGCTGAGTATAAAGGAAAACGAGTTCAACTTTTCCAGCAATGGAAATCAGGCAAAAGACAGGACAGGCACAGGGTTGCCATACTCTGCACCAAGAGACAAAGCTAAAAATAGATGAAGAAGCTGGAGAAAGCTCTCGTGGTGGCAAGGAAAACTTCCTAGGAGGTGGAATGAGATGGAAGAATTGAGTCTAAGGACAGAACTGACATACAAATGCACAGAGCTGCACACAGCACAACTCCAGGGGATGTCAGTCACACAGACCAAGTGGAAACGGCCTGTCCAGGGTGTGCAGTACCCACACTCCATAAGAAGATTAAAGAGACGATTCTAGGAGTTGGGAAGTGTAGTAGACAGAATACTTACTAGCTCCCCAAAGATGCCCACATACCAATATCCAGAGCCTACTGAATACATAACCTTCCATAGCACAGGGGACTTGACAGGTGTGATTAAACTAGGCTCTTGAGGGGGGAGATTATCTGGATTATCTGGCTGGGCCCAGTGGAATCACAGGGGCCTTATACAATGGAAGGGAGGGGTAGCATTAGAGAACAGAGGATGGTGAAAGTAGAGGAGAGACAAATGAGACAGAGAGAAGCTGATTTGAAGAAGCTATACTGCTGGCTTGAAGACCCAGGAAGGGACCATTAGCCAAGGAATGCAGGTGGCCTCTAGGAGGATGGGAGAGCAGACTTGCCCGAGACTCTCCAGGAGGAATATGGGCCTGACCACACCTTGGTTTCAGCTCAGCAAGACCCCTTCCATGTGTCTTAAACCACCATGCTTGTGGTAATTTACTGCACTAAACAGGAAACTAACACAGGAAGCAGAATATTTTACGAGAGGAAGGTGAATTTTCTACCAGGAGAACACACAAACAGCACAGTAAAGGAAAAAGGAGAGCGAGGGGTCTGGAAACAAGAGGAATATGGTAAGTCCAGGGGAAACAGCGTCCTAAGTGTAGAGAAGGAGGACTGAGGGACAAGAGGGCAAATGCGCAAGAAACAAGACTTTCCTGTAGTCGCAGAAGGGACAGTGCTGGGAGCGGTCCAGGGAGTGGCCCGAGAGTCGAAATCAACCTCAGACACAGAACTCTGAATATTTGTCAATCAAATGCATTTGAAAATATTTCATTGAAAGTCTACTTTGTACAAAACATTATTGCTGGCTTCTGTGTGTGACATGGAGATGAATCTCCCAGTTCCACTTCAGATCCATCAGCTGGCCATGCAGTCTCTACCTTTAAGCTGGACTCCAAAGGCGGTGACCTTCCTTTGCATGGCTCCAGTCTGATCTCCAGTCTGGATGTGCCCCCACCTGGCCTTTCAGAACACACTCAACCCGGCCTTCACCACATTTCATCTAAGCCCAATATGCCGAAAAGCCTCCCTGGGCTTCCCACTTCTCTGAGAGTCTAAGCCAAGGCCCTTACATGACTCCGTGTGGCCTCCTCTCTTTCTCTCTCCCCTCCCTTTACTCCACTCCAGCCACGCTCGCCTCCCTGAACATGCCAGCCAAACAGGCTTCAGGGGCTGGTATTTGCCATTCCCTGTGCCTTGAAAGCTCCTTGCTCAGCTGTGTACATGGCTTGGTCCTTTCTCCCACTGGGTCTTGACTTAAGTACCACTTCCCAGTGATGGACACCTAAAATGTTAATCCTGTCCCTGCTGCTATATCCATGGCCACTTCATATCATATTACTTTACTTTTCTCCTCAGCATTCACCACATTATTACAAACTACATAGTTTGCACATTGCTTTTATAACTTAGGTGGTGTTGTCTCCTGTCTTTCCTCTTTAGAACATAAATCCCACATGGGCAGAGAGAGCTATTATTTTATTTGCTCAGGAACTATCCTTTGGAACATACCTAGCACATAGTAGACACTCAATAAATATGTATTTGAATGTATAAATCAAATGTAAAGCAGTTCTTTCTTCAGGAAACTTACAAACTAATGGAGGAGATGAGGATTGTTTCAATAGCCTGTTAACAATTGTCTTAGTTGCTTTTCTGACTGCTGAGACAAAATACCCAACAACCAAAGCAAAAGTAGGAAAAAGTTTATTGTAGCTCATAGTGTGTAGAGGTTTCAGTTGCAGAGCGGCACATGGCAGAGGAGAAACAGTTCATGGTAGGCACAAGGCAGCAAGTAGCAAAGTAGCAGAGCAGCAAGCAACAAGCAGCCTTCTTTTTGTCTCTTATACATGCCCAGGCTGGGGCACCCTTAATCCTAGCATCAAATCTGAATCAATCCCAGAATCACATCCTTCATCCCAGCCTCATACCCTAGATCCACCCACCTCTGAAAAACACCATCTATGACTGCATGAGTCTTTGAGGGGACATTTAGACACAGCCATAACAATGACTGACCTGAATTGAATTTTTGAAAAGAGGCAAAGTATAGGATGGAAGAGAAAGAACACCAAATAAGACTGAGGTAGAGTGGGAAGCCTTCCCGGGAGAGACGTCTCTGGTTCTGAAATTTGGTGATGCCCATTTTCACAGATGGGTGCATGGGGCAGGGGAGTCAGTTGGGCAGAGAGGAGAGCTTCAAAGACAGGCTGTGGAAATTTGGCATTCTCTTATAAGCTAGATTTTCTCTTTGGAGAATATTAACAGTTATCGAGTATAAATGTACAGTCATACACATTTGGGAAATACTGGATTTTGAAAAAAGCTAGAAAGCATCTTTTATTGTAGGACTTCTCAGAGTCTTCACCATAAACTGGGCATTTCAGATTCCAAGAGAGATGTAATAGGAAGTGTATTTTAGATTTTCTTTTTATTCTACTTGGAAAGAATAGTATTTCAGAATCAGACTTCAGGAAAAGTTCCTGTAGGTAAGAAACGAGGAGTCCCCAAGGGTTTCTAGAGAGGAGAGTGGTGTGAAGGACTTGTGGCCTAGAGAGACGTGGAGGGCTGAGTGGACCGGAAGAGCACAGGAGCCCACAGTGGGCTAGCCCAGAGCCCAGCGTGGCATCCACGTGAGAATGCAGAGAGCCCCAGGGACAGCAAAGACAGGAACTTGCAGGAACCACATGCAGGGCCGTTCCAGCTACGGATGCACACTCAGTGTGCAATGTTAAGGTCAACTGAGTTTCCGAGCCAGAGCCTCTGGGTCAACAACAGGGTTTGTACTAGGACGAGAAGACAGAGAACAGCTGTCTTGGGTAGAGGAGGGAAGTGGAAATGATGAATTTGATCTGGTGCATAGAAGGACCTGGCTCTTAGGCCCTTTTGAAACAGGGAAGTGTTTGGGTGATGGAGATAGGGAAGCCAAGTCATCCGTCCACAGACGAAAACTGAGAGAAGCTGGTGACAAATGAAGGCATTTCTGTCCCCATCTTCTCAGCGTGTGTAAGATCTGTGTGCTCAGACAGCAATGCTGACAATCAAAGTACTTTCTGAACACATGATCAAATGAGGAGAATCCTAAGGAAACCCTAGCAAGCTGTATCTCCTGAGCATCTTACCTCTCACAGTGCTTCTTCCATCAAGGCAGCTGTCGGGAGGCAGCGGGTTGCTCATGAGGGTACCCAGCTCAGCGCTGAGACAGGAGGGCAGTGAAACCATGGGACGCAAGTGCCAAGCCCTCGAGGGCCTGAACGGCTTAACCTGTCCAGCCCCTCACTGACAAGCAGAAGGCTTGGGCCCAGAGCACTTAGGAGGGCAGCGGTGTGTTGGAAAGAGCGTGCCTGGCTCCTGAGCCTCAGCCGTCTCCCAGGCAAAATGCCAGTGCTGGACTAGATGCAGACCCCGTGCTGGCCGTTTACACCTTAGCACTATCCAGTAGTCGTTTTTTGTTGGACACAACTTTGGTTTTTAAAAATGAAAACTTCGGGCTGGGGATTTAGCTCAGTGGTTCCGGCACCTGCCTCGCAAGCGCAAGGTCCCAAGTTCGATCCGCGGTACCAAAAAAAAAAAAAATGAAAACTTCATGTTGCTAGGTAAATAAGTACCACTTAACTTCAAATGAAAATCAAACATTGTTATTGGAATGTGAAGTGATTTTTGGACTTTGCTTCCATTATATGTGGGAGGACTGGTGTTCCAAGAAGTGGACTTTGGGAAATGTTCTCCTCGGTACCACTGATCCCCGCTGGAGGAACCGAGTGTGACGTCAGTGCTTTAGAAAGGGCAGCTGCCAGTTGAGAGAGATACTATAGACAGAAAGGCTAGATTTCCCTCCAGAAGTGACAGGAAGATCAACAGAGGCAAACTCCCCACATATGGATTCAGTGTCATTTAGTGCCGTATGTGGTTTCGATCTAAGTTTGCTCACTGGCAGTCCAAAGCAACCTGGACTCAGTTGAGTGGAGAGCAGACCTGTCAGTTTCCAAGGCGCCTTCAGTTCTCACTATCCGTTTTCCTGTGCAATTCACATCCACCTGGCTGCAGCCGATCCCATTGCAATCCACTTGGTTTATTCTCCTGGAACCCTGAGGCCTAATATTTGTAAGGAAGATTTTCCTACTCCTCTCATGCCTTCCTAAGCTGTAAGCATCATGCCGATGGAGCCGGTGTTGAATGCTCACTATTCCATTCCCCAGAGCTCATTTAGACTGTTTCCCTGACAGAGCTCCCTCCCTCCAAAGCAGCCATTCCATCCTGAAAATGCTCCTTCTCAGGCGGAGCAAAAAACAAATCACAGTCAAAGCCTTTGACAACATGGGCTTGAGAATGCATTGCTGCAGCCAACACAGCTTCCAGACCACAGACGACAGCAGAGCTCGGGTTTGAACATAAGCACATCTAACCCTGAATCTTTTCCTTCATCTCAATGTTCCCCAGCCTCACAGCAGATGGAAACCTGTCTGCCTCGAGTCCAGCCGCTGGCCTGCCATGGAGTAAGTTGCTCCCTTTCCATCCAGCTCAATGTCTAAAATACATAGGTTATTTTATTACCTATTCAATATCCTGCCACACTGAACTACTCATGGCCTGTATGTCCAGTTTTTATTTCTAAAATTAATAGGTGGGCTCAAACATCTTACCTTAATATCCTGTGGCATACTACTGTTAATAATAATAAAATAGCTAGTGTTTGTTGATTGTTTATTCCATCCCAGTCATGGATGGAACAGGGAGTATAGCATCCTATACTTTGTGTGGTTTTTTTTTTTGGTACCGGGGTCAAACTCGGGACCTTGCGCTTGCGAGGCAGGCGCTGGAACCACTGAGCTAAATCCCCGGCCCAGCATACTATACTTTGAAGAAACACAATTAAGCAGCTTACTACAAGTATCACAAACCAAAATCGGCAGAGCTGAGATTCATAGCCAGGAATTCATGCCTAGGATCTTTACTCTTACCCATGTGTTAGGAATGCTCACCTTCTAGTCTCCCTACCATGTGAGTCCTAAAGCTAAACTCTCCTATAGAGGATTTTACAGATTGAATGTTAAATGCATTGGTTGACACCTTAACCCCCAGTGTGATGACATTCGGAGGTGAGGCCTTTGGGATGTGGTTAGCTCACGTGAGCAGAACCTTCATGAAGGGCATGAGTGTCCTAATAACAAAAGAACCCTGAAAGATCACTTATCTCTCTCTCAGCCCTGAGAGGACACAGCTGTCCACAAATGAGGATGAAGGACCTCACTAGACACCAGACCTGCAGTGCTTCCGTCTGGGACTCCCAGCCTGCAGGGCTGAGAGAAATAAGTGTCTGTGGCTCAAGCCAGCTGGGCCATAGGCTTCATTATAAGTGCCCGGATGGAGTAAGACAGGACTGGTCTGGCCCCCAGGCAAAGTTCCATGGTCCCCTGACGTCTCAGGGAGTGCAAGGTCCAGAGAGAATCTGACCCAGGCCGCTACATTTTCTCTGTCCTGTCCATGTCCTGTTTGGTTCTCTCCTGGACACCCAGACTTCAGGGTCTCAGCTTCCCTTTCCACCCTGCTTCCCTAAGGGCCTTCCCAGACTCTCGTCCATAAATTCCCTGGGGCTTCACGGAAAGGACTGGAAGCCCTTTGTCTCCGGGAAACTGTGATAGAATGTAAGGAGCAAAAGGCGCATCATGAGTAGGTGGCCAGCTGCATTCTGTCACATGAGGGCGAGGGCAGCCTGGAGGGAGCCGAGGGTGATGAAGGGCACGGCGGCAGCAAACACAAGATGGGCATGTGGTGAGTACCCCACAAGGCTTCCTGCCTTCCGCCTGGTCCAAATGGGGCTCAGGCATTCACATGGAGGCTGCCCAAGCAGTGACAAGCAAGCCCATAGGGACTTTCCACCCTGGACTCTGGACTGTAGTGCAAGGGCCCTGGCACTACTCCACATCTCCTGTGTTCCTAGGTGTCCCCTCTCTGGTCTCCAGGGGACACCACCAGGCACAGCCTCTCTGCAGTGCCACTTCAGGGAGCCCCTTCCCAGGCGGCACAGCAGATGGACATCGAGCAGGCCCCACTGCCAGTCACTCACCTGCAGCAGCTCGAACACTGCGAGGAGGTCCCCTCCGGAGAGAGTCCCACAGAAGACGGGATGATAGCACAGCTGGGGAGGCTCATAGTCCTGGTCAGCCAGTGTCACAATGGGGGCAGCCACTGTGGCACCCAAATATTCTGGCTTCCCCTGGAGCAAAAAGAAATTAGTTTCTGTCCCCTGACTGTTAAGCTGCTTGGTTCTGGTCCACATCGATGCAATTTGACAAATGATCCTCACAGCACTGTGAGCATCACTCTTCCCCCCTCCCTCCTGACTCACTCTCATCTGCTAAGCTCCTCTGTCCATTCCATGGGCTCAGGGAGCTGTAGGGGCCACCCAGGCTCCCAGGGGGATGTGAAGGATGTCACTGCAGGGGATTTGGTGCAAGGCTGTGTTACAGGTATCTCTCTCTCTCTCTCTTTGTCTCTTTCTCCTCTCTTTGCAATATTGACCCCAGCTAAAATGATCATCCTGGGTAGACTAGGAGAAGAAGAGGAAAAGCTACATGGGAGTGAGCATTCCAAAGCTCTCCAGGCAGCCACCCCTGTTGCTGGGAGCAGGAGCTTCCAAGGGAGGCAAACTTGGGTTTGAGTTCTCAAATCTGCCTCTGTCCAGCTCCGTGGCCTTGGGCCAGCTACTTGACATTGTTAAGCCTCGTGCCTAAAAAGTGCTTAAAAATTATGCGTGTTCATAAGGCCCCAAGGATTAATGGTACAACATTTATCCTTTCATGGTAACTGGTATACAAGTGCCCAGTGCATGGTAAGATGATGATGATAGAGTAGGAAGACGAGCTGAGTGATGGTCCAGTTCTGCTCTATTGCTCTTGGGAGTAAAGAGGAAATTAAGAACCATTTACTATCACCATGTCCCGCCTTTCCCCAGGCCTGCTCCAGGAGTCTAGCTGTGCACTTCCCCAGGAGCTGGGTGGAATAGCGTCAGCTCCGCCCGCCCCTATCCTATCCGGCACCCACTGTCTCCTGGCCCACAGTGGAACTGGTGCACAGTTGCTGAGGGGAAGTTGTTGGGGACTGCAGCCAAGGGCAGGGCCATGCTCGCTTTTGGCCCAGCTCGGGTTCGGCAGCCCTGCTGGCTGCTTTGTTAACCTGGGATTCAGGAACCAGCGCTCTCACTGCTGGCCTCTCACTGCTGGCCATTGGGGGTTAGCAGACTGAGATGGAAGTGGGGGTCTAGTCCAGCCACCCCGACGCCTGGCGGCGCTGCATGCGGCCCTCGGCAGGGGGAGTCGGCAGTGGCTGAGCACTGCTGCTCACGGACTGCTGCCAGGTTGGAAGCTGCAGCTGGGCAAGGAAGAGAGGCAGCAAAGAAGGCAAGCCAGAGACAGAGCCGCCCCTCCCTCCCAGCGGGCAGGACCCTGACCTAGTAACCAGCAGCAATTCGAGACTAGCCAGGGTGGGGACAGCTGTGTGCTGTTGCACATGAGTATCACATCTCCGAGGAAGTGTGCATTGCACACACTACAGTCTGCTCACTAGATCTGATTTTAATTACAATTTACTGGAAAATCTTAGAGAAGAACCCAGAGTGAAGCAAATAATCATCACCAGTTTCCGGAGTCAGTTTTGTCTCCAGGCACATCGAGGGCCCTGAGCATGCACAAAGCCGGGGCTTTATTCCCTGTGAAGTGAGTCAGCCAGGTGAGGCGATGCAGCCTGTATCCTCGCTACATGGGGCTGAGGCAGGAGGGTCACGAGTTCAAGCCCAGGCTGGGCAGCTCAGCAAGGCTGAGCTCAGGGGCAGAGAGCTTATGCACAGTGCGTGAAGCCCTGGGCTCGACCCTCAGCATCACCACCCGCACCCTAAGGAAGAAGTCCAGTGAGGCGTTTGCAGTGGGGCAGGCGGGCTGCCGGGCTCTCTCACCACAGCATCGCTGTCATACAGCTCCACCACCACCAGCGGTGGGGCCTCGGCCAACTCCCTCTCGTCTCCGTGCAGCACCACTTCGTTGAACAGCAGCATCTGGTTCCACGTTGGGGACAGAGTCTGGGAAATGACCTGGAGCAGAGACCAGGAGAACCGTTCTGTCGTGAGGTTAGGGGAGCTTCAGACACGGCTTTCACTCCGCACCCACCATGTACACAGAGCAGCTGCTGTGTACCCCACGCCAGGGCACAAAGCTTCCCGGCTGGAGAAGCTTCCCTTCCTGTGTTCCACGAGCAGAGCCGGGTTTGATACCAGCTGCACAAACACTTCTCACTCACCTTTAGTGGGGCTGCGATGACAGCGGTCACCCTCACTGGGTGCTTGTGGCGCCCCCGGCTGCACCGCACTCGCCCGGTCTCCTCCAAGCCCCATTTAACCCCAGGCACTGCTCTGTACACGCCCGGGGCTGCACCTCGCTTGGCCAGGGCCAGCCAGGCAGAGCTGAAGTTTGACCTGATGATCTGGCTCTAAGACCTGGGCTGCAAGCCCATCATCTATCCTCATCCAATAAATGCTAATATTTTCCCACACTGTAGAGGGGAAAACTGAGAGCTGAGGATCTAGTGATTCTTCACTTATGAACAAATAAAATTTTCTCACCAAATATCCTAATGTTGAGTTAAAAACTCTAAGATTCCTTACAAGAATGGCTTTGCGGACATTTACTGACTGCTCGGAATAGGGCGGGGTCTCCAAAACCACCCTCACCACTCTGCGTGGCAATCTTGCATTCCTGGGATTTGCCATGGCAGCAGACTATGATGCTGGTGGCTGCTGTACCCGTTCTACAGGTAGAAGAATCACGGCCAAGGGAGGACAATGACTTCCATCACCGGTCCAGAGCCAGACTGCCACTGGGGACTGGTGCGCGGCCCCTGCTGGCCACTCGAGACGCTCGAGAAGAGAAGGTGCTGTGACTGTGTTCTGTTTAGTTACACGCCAGAAACATGCCCGCCTCACAGAGCCCGAGCGCAGAGATGTCTGCGGGACAGGTAGGCCCTGTGCCTGCTCGAGGCCGGCCCTGGAGGGGCCACGGTCACAGCCAAGGGGCGGCTTCATGGTGAATGGCCACAGCAGCCCGGGGAATTACCACAGCAGCTCTGCCTGCGCTTTGATTGCTACTCCACTCCGGGAGGTGAGGAGGAAGCCCCCGCCTGGGCAGACTCCAAGCTCGGGGCCCACAGGAAGGTCTCAGCTCACAGCTTCAGCTGGAGTCGGCTCCAGTTACTGCATGAAGTCATTTGCGCGGTGGTCACGAAATATTTTTATTGCTCTTTTTAGGTGAGTCATAAAATTATTGTGTTTACATTTCCTTCCCTTCATATTTTTTGGTTTTAGAGTATTTTATGCCTCGGATAAAATGAGGTTTGAAGCAAAAGCATTTCAGAGAAATGTAACTTTCTGATGAGAATTGAATGGCCTCAACCAGGCAGTAGCAGGAGGCGTGGAGCTGCAGTGCAGTCACCTGTGTCGGGACCAGCACCCCAGAGCCTGTCTTCCAGTTGCTTTGAACGTAGACTTATGGTCTCTCGACCAGTGCACCCCGCAGTGTCGTACTGAAGCGATTTGTGACCTTCACGGCTCTTTCCTATAAACACGCTGGCGTCTTCCACAGCACTCATAGGACTCCAGAGTGCCGCGTCCTTGCATCCACCCACCGTGCACTTATTCAGGGCCCACAGTGTGCGAGGCTCAGTCGTAGACACTAACCCAGCAGCCTGCACGTGGCAGGTGCTCTGCAGCTGCTTGTGTGGATGGCAAACGGGCACTGGGCTGACTGCAGAGCTGCTCCTGGGCGGAAAGGACCTCAGTCATCTTTGAGAGGTGCTAAAGAGCTCGCTCAAATACAAGCACGGCCTCTCTTCCTCTGGCCAGGCACCCGAGCTCAGCCTCCCTCGAGTGCTTCTTGAAGAGTCAGGAGCTCAACTGGGTAAAACCATAATCAGGGAGGTCGCGGTGACACTGAGCTAACACACTGAGGAGGGAGCAGACACTGCGGCAGAAGAGAGCTGTGGAGTCAGGAACCCGCCATGGAACTCTAGCTGTATTACCTGTCCGGTGTCCAACTCGGGCAGTGTTTCATTTCTCCAAACTTCAGCTTTCCCATTAAAACAGGGTTAGCACCTACTCTGCGGTATGGTTACACCGCTGTCTGAGATAAAGAGTATTATCTTCCTGGTTTGCAGTAGCTACTCGACACACACACACGCTACATCCCAGTCCATACTCACTTAGAAATGAGTACACATTTTCGGCTAGGAGTGTAGCTCAGTGGTAAAGTACCTGCCTAGCACCACAAAATCAAATCAAAACCAACATCTGACACATGGCAGCCTTGGCACCCTGGATTAATCTCCGCCGGCTGGCCAGGCCCTCAGAACCAAGCGCCATCCAGGTTGCTGGAGCTCAGGCCCCAGCTTCTCTCCTCTAAGATGCGCTCCCCTTCCCCTTCTTCGCTCCCCTTAGCCATCTGGCCCCTCTCCCCACCCTCCCCAAAGCCTTTCTCTGAAGCCTCTATCTCCCTTTCCCGTTATCCTTCAGGCTCCAGATTTCCAAGTCCTACTTCCTCAGTGATCCTGCAGCAGTCCGCTCCCCTCTTTGGAATTTTCCAGACCACTAAGTCACCTGGTGAAGGACCGGCTGGCAGGCCCAGCCCCAAAGAGGCCAGCTGTCCCGAACACCCAGCGTCCAGTCCAAGTGGTGCCACCAGGGACCTGGACTCAGCTCCCCCATCACAGAGAGTGTGAGAAAGAGGCCAGCCCCCCGCAGACTGGTCCCTCATCACTGAAACAGGGGAGGAAGACCGGGACCCTTTCTTCCCCAAGGGAAAACAAGTGGTTAAGGAAATAACCTTGGAACTGGCCAAGCACAGCTGGGATCTTGGCTCCGCCTTCTCGCTGCAAAGGCGCTGAGCCTTACTTCTGGCTTGCAGAAGGGGGACGCTGGTAACGTCCACTTCGGGCTGCAGTGGGTGTGGCAATCGATGCCTAGGAAATGCTGGGCACCATGCATGGCACGAGGGGCAATTCTGATAAATGACAGCTAGCATTATTAACAAAAGTAGGTGCTTGGATCAAAACTATGGGGGCAAAGTCCAGGGCTCAATGGAAACTATTTTCCCTGTCAAATGATTCTTTGATTAACAAAACCCATCTGTTTCCTTGAGATATGGATGTAAATCAAATGGGGACACTGTATGGCGATACAAAAGAAGGTCATTTTATGGCAGTCCCAGGAGTGCAGTGTCTCATTACTGACCCCTGGGTCACCGACGGGGCCTGGAATTCAGTGCTGGGGCTCAGGAGGGCGCCTGCCATTCCGGGGCCTCCTTGTTTTGAGTGGGAGTCGCAAGCAACTCGCAGAAGCTACCTTCAGTCAGGCACTGCACAGGGTGTTCTCCACTCTGCAGCCACTGCCACAGTTCCTGTTTCCAGACCAAGAAGCTGAGGCTGAGGGGTTTTGCTCAGCATCGCTTGGGCAGTGAGCAGGAGGGCTGGGAGTGGACCTGGGCGGGGCTTCAGGCCGCTGCTCATGGCCACTGCGCTGCGTACAGCCGCTCAAAAGACTGGGACAAGAAGCAGCCTGCTGTTCTGTCACGGAATGGGGACGGGGTCACCTTCCTCTTGAGGTCTCTCCCGACTCCCCTCCCAAACAGAACCCCCCATTGGAGGACTCTGTACCGCCCCAGCCTCATATGGAGGACCGTGCTCAGGCCCGGGTCACGCCTTGTCGAGAGCAGAGTCTAGTTCTACACCCTGTGGAGCCCCGGGGCTGGCAGTCTCCAAGTGCTGGACACAGATGTTAGCCCTCCAGCATCGGCCAAAGCGGCCACCTTTAATCAATCATGCTCGAGGCCAACCTGAGGGCTGGTGAGTTGAGGTGTTCACCTGAAGACAGGCAGCAGGAGGTCAGAGGAGCTGGGAGGCAGCCTCGGAGCCCCTGTCTTACCCCCTGGGACGGGCAACAGTTTACCGGCCATGCAGGAGGTCAGAGAACAGCCCGAATCCCCCGAGCACAAGACCTCTGAGAAACCACCCTAAAGGGAGAAAGAACCAAGGAGCCCGCCACACACAGGGCTCTGCTTCACTGCACTCCTTCAGGGTCGCGCCTGCTCACAGAGTCTGGCCCTTTCCACAGGCTCCTGGGGCCTGGGTTCTGCTCTCCGCACGTTCCTCTCCCCTCAACTTCCCTTTGCCTCGGGACTTGCTCATTCTGCCCTAGGACAGCGGCTGTCAGGGACAGTAGCTCTTCCCCACCTCACACTGCCCAGCTCAAGTTTGTCTGTAAGCCTCAGGCAGGGAAACAGCTGTGTGTCTGTGCCTCAGTTTCCCTTTCCTGCGCTGTGCTGTGGGTCAGCTGCAGGCTGCAGGGAGAGAGCAGCTGGTTCCCTGCTTACCTTTGTGGTCTGGCACTGGGACAGGAATGTGACTCTGGCAAAAGGGTCAGAAAGTCCATTGCTGTCTGCGGCAATGAGGCCCCGGGCTTGGTACATGTGCGCCCTCAGCTGGAAGACGTGCTGGGCTGCGGGCAAAGCACAGGAAGGGCGGGGTTAGCGCCTCCAGGGAGCAGCACCTGTGACATGTGCGTGTGCCCACAGACAGAGGGGTGACCATGGCACCACTATGACTCGGCCAAAGCCCGGAAGACAGGGAAGAGGCACCGCGGGCGGAGCTGGGGGTCAGGCAGTCTCACAGTGCTTGCTCAGGCTGAATCTGTCGTCAACCACAACCACCTCGTGAGATGCACAGAGCTGTCCCCCACTGTACAGCTGAGGAAATGGCTGAGACATGGCTAAACACATCTAAGTTTGCAGAGCCTGGATTTTACTTCTCTTTGCCTCCAAAATCCACTTCTCTTTCTAAAATGTCATATTTTACTCACTAGCAATTCTCCTATTTCTGAGTGTGTGTGTGTGTGTGTGTGTGTGTGTGTGTGTGTGTAAGAGCCTGTTGCACATGTAGCTTTCATATCAATAAACTCACTGTCTGGCAGTGTCTGTTCATCCACTCCTCCATTCTGCCAACCAATGGCATTTTGAACGCAGAGCCCTAAGGCAGGGAGCATTTGGTAGCCAAGGCCGGGTGCCTCTCGGGGCAGTAGCAGGATGAAGCAAGGAAGAACAGAGCCCCAGGGGTGCGGCAGGGGAGGACTGAGATGCGTCATGTACACATTCCAATTCTTCACAAGGAATGTAACCATCATGCACTGCAAAGACATACTAATAAAAATTTAAAATTAAAAAAGTAATGGCACATGATGTAGAGGCAAGAATGTGGCTGAATTTGGCCAGCATACAGGTCCCAGGCAGTGACAGTCGCACCAAGGGCCCAGATGAGGAGCTCCTGACAGTGCGTGCACAAGAGACGAAGGTATCAGAGCAAAGCACAGGAGAGCAAAACTGAGTCAAGCTTGCAATGGACAGAAGGGGTGGTTGGGGAGGGTAGTGGGAGATGACACTGCCCCCTGTGGGTGGGAAGACCAGGTCTCAGGCTCTGGTGGAGAGGCTGGCTTGAGGGTGGGAGAGGCATTTGCAGCAGCGGTGCCCCAGGGCTTGGTCCCTGACTAGCAGGGCGAGGAGGCCCGGGGCACCGAAGGCCATTCCATCCCAGATTGTCATGAGACTGGGTACATTCCTGTCCCTCCACCTCTTGCTGCTGTCTGGCCACAGTGGGGACCATCACAGACCCAGAGAATGCAGCAGCCTTCAGTCTCCACCCACTCTGATCCTCCAAAGGATTTGGAAACCAGCTCTTAATCTTTCCCAGTTAGGTCCAGTTACTACAGCACAGTATCTCTAAGCTCTGACCCAGTCAGGGGAATGAGAAGTGATTCCTCTGGTCTCAGTTTTAAAGGGTCCTTGATCATATCAATAAACCAATGGATGACTCGCTGATGAATGTAGCACCCCATGATCCGATCACCTTCTGAAAGCCCCACCTCTCAATATGTGATGCCCTAGGGGACAATTTAGATCTAAACCACAACACTCAGTTAATAAATGATGGAGAGAACTCTCCAAGCCCTGTTTTCCTTCCACCATTGTCCATCCTTCCTTTGGAGAGTGTTTGTTTTTGTGGACCTATGTGATACATACCTTGGAGTGGCACAGGCGTGCATGGCAGGAGTACTTGTTTTGGGGCCCTGCTGGCAAGAGAGCCCCTTAAAATGACAGCAGTAAATAATCCATTGCGCGGTAGATGACACAGGGAGCTTGTAGCAGGAGTGTTAGGAGCTGGCCCATGAGTCCCTTAGCACACTACACAGTCTGGCAAATTTCTCAGCTGTAAATGAACTCGGGATGTCTCACCCTGGAGAATGTTCACCAGCTACTTCTGAGTGACCAGTCTTGAAGTTCAGCAGAGTCCTCAACAAGCAGCACACTGAACAACTCTGGGGAAGGAGGGGTACTTAGTCCACGCTTTTGTATCTCGGAGCCCTGTTCCTCGGTCTCGGCTGCCAGGCTCACATCCAGGGTCCATGTCCTGTACCACGGCTCACTCTCCCCTGTGGTTAGCAGAGCTGTGTCTTGTGCCTCTCTGAGGGTCAGTGTCACCTCTCACTTACCCATGTCCCCACCACTTTTCCCACTCTGACTGTGCCTTCCACATTTAGATGCAGCTAATTACTTGCTGCATGGATATTCTCTGGAGCGTGCAATTCTCCAGCAGGTGCGGAAGACAGCCAAAGCCGTCAGTGTCAGGCTTTTCAGGTCACCCCATGAAAATGACAGAGTGCAGGGGATCGAAAGCCCTGGGAAAGACTCTCCTCACCCCTAAACTTTTAGTAGCTAAAACAGCAGACAAGTCTGTGTCCTTGGGTCTCTAGGGATAGCGTCTATAGCATCAGGAAAGCAACTTGATGTGGGTGTCATTGACCCCAAAACAAAAACTTGTGAAAAGCAGGCTGGAAAAGAGTGGAAAGAGCAGGAGTTGGTGATGATCCACTCCATCATTTACTGGCTGTGTGTTGTGGTTTAGATCTGAATTGTCAGGCCAAGCCTGATGTGTCCAGAGGCAGGGCTTTAGGAAGGGTCCGTGCTCATCACCGAGTTGTCCACTGGTCAGGTCATCTGTGGAGGGAGCAGCTGGGAGGCGAGGCCTGGTCGGAAGAGGCGGCTCACTCCCAGCTCCCCCTTTCCTGCTTCCCGGCCTCCATGATGTGAGCCACTTTTCTCCGCCCAGTTCCTTCCCACAGGCCTTTCTTTCTGTCTTGGAGCCAGCCGATTACAAACTGAAGCCTCAAAAAGCCTCAAGCCCAAATAAACCTCTGCTCCTGTAAGTTTTGGGTTTTAGGTACTTTGTGCCATTGACAAGAAAGTGACTAAGATATTGTGTGATCCTGGGCAATTTTGAAGCATCTGTGAGATTTACTCTCTCCATTTGTAAAATAAAGAAACCTACCAGGGATGATGTGAGAAATAAATAAGATATTATGTATAAGGAACAGGGCACTGTGCTTGGTCCATGTCAGGTATCATGCATCAACGCTCTCCCAAAACATTCAGTTAGATTCCACTGGCGTCAAGGTTAATCTGCATCAGAGGAGCTTTGTGCACAAGGAGAGGTGGGTGTGCAGACTACTCTCCAGGATTTCCACCACTGACCAAGCTCAAAACTCAGCTTCAGTGGAAGTGTAGGTAAAACTTCGATCTGCTGTACCTGAACTCAGCAGCCAAAGCCATGCAAATTAAAGCCACCAGGAAACAGAAAGCAAAATGCACCTGTAAGGCTTTAATATTTATAATAAAATTCAAACTGTATGAAAATGTAAGCACGATGATGCTCATACAAATACCTGGATGGAAGAAAGGATTCTGTCAAGTATGCTGACTTTGTAAACACAGCCAAGAGCTGAGCTGAAGAAACACGAGTGACATCGCCAGTACTGTCTCCACTGGGTCACCGCTGGGACTTGAAATAGGTAAAAACCTCCATGCCACGTACAAAGGAAAGCCTGCCTCAAGGCCATATGCCATGCCAGCAGAACTCAGTGATGCTAACGTGCAAACTCAACCTCTGTAGTCCTCCTGCCTACAGAGAAACTCAAATTGGTTTCTCTCCATCAACAGGAAAGCATGTTTATGCCAGATGTGTTTAGAAACTTCACTTTATACTTTTAAATGGAACATCTGAAGTTAGAAGGAACACTTTCAAACTGTAATAAAGAAGGTAAATAAGTTGTCCTAAAATAAAGTGCCAACAACTCAAGCCCACCAGAGACGCCCTATGCCCTCACTGCCCACTGGGCACCATACCTTGGTAGAGCAGGTTGGATGGAGGGTGATGAGCGCCAGCTGCTTTGGAGGGCATTTCTGCTTCGTAGCCTTCAGGCAGGTTGCCCAACATGGTGCCAGAGAACCTGGTGGAGCCCAGCCACAGGTACACGTCCACTTTGGCCTGCACGGACCACCCGGCCAGACGTTTCCCAGGGAGCTGAGGAAAGTGACAGGATGGCTGTTTGACACACCTACAGGTTTGTTCAGAGCCTCAATGAGAAATGGCCCCAATTACCACAGCACACAACTTCAGAGGAGGATCCAGGTTCCAGGGCCCGAGGCTTCACACAAACTGTGAGGAGCACTGCCCTGACAGGTGGATAAATTTCCTGCCCTTGTTCTGTAGATGAGGGAACTTGAGCTCAGAGAAATCAAGCAAATTGTCCAAGATCCCTCAGTTTTTACCTGACAGAGCCAGACTCCAAAGCAAAAGAGAAGACTCCAAATCTCCTGCCTCTGAATCTCAGAGCCTGCTTCATCACACTGAGTTGTAATCACCAGGTCCTGGAGTTCCCAGCTCTCTGCCTCACTCTAAGGATCCCCATGCTCTTCCCCATGTTGGACTCCAGGTGCTTTAAGGAAACAGCCCTCCCGTACCTTCTGCTTGGCCAGACACCTGTACCTCCTCGCCCTTCCTCCTGCCATGCGACATCTGCTTCCCTGTCCACCCTGCTTCTTCTCTGTAGAATGTACAGATTTGTGTTTGTGTCTGATTTTTCCTTCCGGGTCTGTATGTGTGCATAGGGAGTGTGCACACACACGTGTATGGCCCTGTGTATGTATGGGTGCGTGTACTCTCGGGACCTGGACCTCAGGGTGCTGCTCACGGCTGACAGCGTGACCCCTTTGCTTCTCAGCAGCAGCTTTGGAGGACTTCCTGCCCCATGTACAGGGTCCAGGCCCAAGGCTGGCTGTGCTCAGGAGGCTGTCAAGGGCTCCATTCTGCGAGCAGTTGGTGGCCCCTAAGACACTGCTTGCTCTCCAGACTTTGTTGACTCTTCCAAGTGCCTCTCCAGATTTCCCTACCAGTCATTTCTCCTTCCTTCCACACCACTTGCCTCCCTGGAGGATCACAGAGTCCTATCAGGACAGCCAGAACTTGCCTGACAATTCCCAGGGCCCCTGCAGTGAGCCTCTGACTCCAAATTGAGCGTGACTGCTCGCCTTTCTGTCTTGCTCTGTGGGTTCCATCAGCAGACTTGCAGCAACTCAGTTTAGCATGACTGCAAGTGCTGGGGAGCTTCTGCTTCTCTCCATCTCCTTCCTTTCTCATGCTGAGGCCTAGACCCAGGTCCTCATCTGCTAGGCCAGTGCTCTACAGCTGAGCTGCACCTCCAGCCCCTTCACCCTTTCTTCTAGTTGCAAACACAGGAGTCCCCCTTTACCTAGTCTTGGTTTAATCTGCAGTTTCAGTCACCTGCAGTCTGAAAATATTAAACGGGACATTTCAGAACTTAGCAATTCTGAGTTTTATTCATCAATATATTGTTATAATTATTCTCTTGTTTGGATAATGCATTGGGCTGGGTTTTGCAAATTCTGCTCTGCTGTTTCCAGTAGCAACATGAATGTTCTTAAATTAGAGAAAAAGATAGATGGAACCAGGGACCATGAACCCAGGATGACAGTCACAGATCAGCCGATAGCCATGGGACTACAGATGACACGACTTTGTTCCTTCTATGTTAACAGTGCCCACACTGGGTTCCAAAGAACCGACATTTCCTAAAATTGTACACAGCTCCTCTGGGAGAATAGGTTTGGTGGACATGAGTTTGAAAAGTTCAGATGTTTCCTGGCTGCAGGACTCCTTGGCCTCCTAACTGGTTGGTGGGCACTGTGAAACCCCAGAATTTCCAAAGCCCTATCTGCAACTTCCAAAGGGGTTTGGACATGGGATATTTATGGAGCCATTCAAAAGACAGCTGGGCAACAGAATAAACTTTGAGGAAAGTCTGGGCCTCCCTGGTCTGACCCTTGCTTTTTTCACTTACCAATTCCAGGAAGAGAAAGGGGCATAGAGGGAGGCAGTGCTAAATTCACGGGTGGCAATCAAAACAGGAATGAAAATAGTTTCACTGAATCATCTTATCAAGATGTTTCAGGGCTGGGGATTTAGCGCAGTGGTTTCGCTGCCTGCTGCGCAAGCACAAGGACCTGAGTTCATTCCCTGGTACCAAAAAAAAAAAAAAAGATGTTTCATCACGCAGACATCATTGAATTCAACCAGATGCAGAAAGTTACTCCCCAAAGCAATCCCAGGGCCAAGAGGACAACACAGATAAAGAAGAGTTGGGGTTTACAGACATATTGATAAAGATAATACACACAGAAGAATGCCAGAGGGCAGGTGTTCTCTGTTCTCAGTTATGTCTCTCCTCTGGCTTTATTTGGCAGCTGTTCTTTGCTCTAATTTAAATAGTGCTAGGGTACATCCAAATATTTGGGAGGTAGTAACTTTTCTAATATTTTTAGCATGGGGCTTTTTGTAACAATTGGCTATTTTTAAGACAGATGTGTTTTGCCTGCCTAGCATTCCTTGAATTGAGAAATTTAAAGAAAATCCCTGATATTTGTGTTGAATGACTTGGGTAAAATTTTTTGTTTTTTCAGTTACAGTTTTGGAAGAGTGAGTTTAAGAATGATTTTACACACCTCACAAAAACTAACGCTCAGAGTCACGCGCACTGACTGGTGTGAGGGGGCACAGTGACAGCAGTGTTCTCTGGGTGCGGGGAGTTCAGCTGTTTGCATCCAGTGTTTACACAGCGATTTCTGTGGGTGACATAACTATGTGTTCTTTGCCTGGATTTACTCACCTGATCCTCACCACCGTGGATAAAAATGGGATGAACATTCTTGTCCAAGATCTTACAGCCAGGAAATGCTGACCCTGGCATTCTGACATGGAATGAATTATGCTCCCTCAAATTTCACTTGTTGCTGTCCTAGTTCCCTGTACTCCCACGCTACTTTGTTTGGAAAAAGGGTCACTGCAGATGTAATTAGCTCAGTTAAAATGGCACTGCAACTGGAGTGGGTGGGCCTGGAAGCCAGCTTGAAGAGACAGGCCAACAGACACAGGCAGAACATCATGTAAATATTGGTGTTATGCTGGCACACGCCAAGGAACTACATTCACAGTGCCCAGCCCGGGCCCTGAAGAACCGGAGTTTTCTGAAAGTGTAAGGAGCTGATCTGAGGGACAGCTTTGGTGGCTGCTTCCTGGCTTCAGGACTCCTCAGGCCCCGGACTGGTCAGAGGGCGCTGTGAGACTCCGGAGATGCAACCCCGGGGACGTGTCTCTCCCTGACACCTTTAGACCAGGCACAGCCCTGTCAATGACTTGATCTGAGGTTTCCTGCCTTTGAGATTGTGAGGAATAATCAATTTCTGTGGGTTAGGCCAGTCAGTGCATGATATTCTACCACAGCAGCTCTGGCAAAGTGGTACAAATCCAGTCCAGGATCACCTGATGTCGAAGCCCATGCTCAAAATCACAGCCCACACTGGATCTCAGCTCAGTCACAGTCACACTGACCATGGCCTCTTCAGGCTCAGCAGCACCTGGAAGCTACTAATCTAGCTGCCCACTGCCAAATTTACATCAGCAGTTGGCCAGCGAGCGGAGCGCTGACACCCGGAAGGATTAGAAGGCAATGTGGATTTCCGTTTAGGGTGTGGCTTCCCTGTAAGGTCTACTGTGTGTTGTGGGCCTGTACATTCTCTGGCCACTTCCCTTCCCTCCCCTCTTTCCTCCCTCTCTCCTCTTCTGTCTCATCCCCTCTCTCTCTTCCATCCGCACCAACTGCATGGTGGCCCCCAATGCCGGCAGGACTCTCTCACGCTGTCAGGTCTCCCTTCCCAGCTTAACATTGCTCTCTCTTCCCCCGTTCCTCAGAGCGCATGATCTTGAGCATTCCCACCCTCCCTCTGGGCAGAAGCAGAATAAATATGCTACAGCAAGGAACCAGAACTGCAACTGGCAGGATAGTCTACTAAGAGTCGGGGAAAGATTGTCAGCAGAGTCCCGCCTTGCTGCCCATTGTTGGTGAGGGCACAGCTTTGCCCCACTTTTCTTCCCATTTGCTCATTTCTACTTGCTGGTATCAAAATTTGTTTGCAGTAGAGGTCAAACACCCAGACACCATGTCTCTGATGAGGACCCACTCATACGGTGCCTGGGGACCTCCTCAGAGTGAAGTGTGCATGGCCTTCCAGGCAATAAGACTATCATGACTGTATGTGTGGAACTGGGGATTAAACCCAGGGCCTTCACACTGAGCTAGATCCCTGGCCCCATTTTTATTTTTTATTTTGAGACAGGGTCTCACTAAGTCACTAAATTGCCCAGGCTGGGATTGAACTTGGAATCCTCCTGCCCCAGCCTCCCCCAGTGCTGGAATTACAGGCACCCCTCACCACACTGGGCTAGGACTTTCCTATTTTTACAATTTAAAGTCACCAGAATGCCAGGTGTGGTGGTGCATGCCTGTAATCCTAGCACTCAGGAGGCTGAGTGAGGAGGATCACTGTGAGTTTGAGGCTAGACTGGGCCACATAGTGAGTTCAAGGCCAGTCTGAACTATAACAAGAGACCTTGTCTCAAAAAACCAAAAAATAAAATAGTAAAAAATAAAGTCACCAGGAATCCAGAAGTGGAGTTCTGTTTCTCTTGCAATTTTCTTTTTAATTAATATGTATTAATTCTACATATTAATGAGGTTCACTAAAAATACAGAAAACTCATGTGAAAAGACACCATAGACTAATCACACAAGAGGACAGTTCATGAGGAACTAACAGAAAAATGTTCATTTTTACTAGTAATCAAAGAAATAAAAATCAAAGCAACCTTGAGACATAGAGCCATTAGAGTAAAAAGAAATGTACATGTGTCTCGTGACATGAGAAAAGGAGAATCAGAAAGGCTTGGGCCCAACGTGCTCCTTCAATTGCAGTTTGATTAAGACAGGCAGGTGTCCTAGCTGCCTCCTGTCTTTGGGACCCAGGGGGAAGAGTCAGAGACATGGACACACTAGAAACTCTGAGCTACCCGTGGAAAATAGAACTTTCTCACCTTGTAGTCAAAAATAGCGCAGACTTACTTTGAGGAAATGAGTTTTGATCTTCCCACAGTGTTTGCCCTTCTGCTCCCTGACGGGGGAGTAGAGTAGGTCTTTGGCAGCGACGCGGGCGTATGCCACTCTCTTGTTGTTGCTCAGCATCCAGATGAAGACATCGGGGATGGTGTGCTGCGGCTGTGTGGAGGGAAGGGCAGGATGGGCTGATGCTGAGCAAATGCACCTCCAGAGCCCTCCCGTCCTGGAAGAGTCCCTCTTCCGCAGAACGTTCTGTGCCATAAGCCACCCAGGTCCTTCAACATCTGGGCAATCAAACAAGTTTAGTGCAGCTTGCTCAAGATGAGAAAGCTTTAGGTCATGAAGCGGAAGTGCCCGTAACTCCCATAAGCCAGACTGCACACTGGGTTTTGCCATCACCCATGGCCCATGACTTGGCGTCTTTGAGGACCTACTTCTCTCCACAGAACAAACACTTTCTACAACTTCCCATGGATTTATTTTTCCAATGCAGTAATAATGTTTAGCTTCAAAGTGCTAGACCTCTTCAAAGGCAGGTAACATTCCCAAAATATTCAAAGGAAAAGATTAAACCAAACATACAAGATGTCCTTGAATGGCTTTCCACCTGCTCTTAAGAAAGGGAAAGCAAATCTACAAGAAACTTTATACGTAAAATTCAATTGCCAAGTATTCTAGTTCCATTTTAGGTAGTTATTTAGGACAAACTCAACTACAGTGCACAGAAAAATAGAATTTAAAGTTGTGCTAATTAAGATAAGAAGTACAGATATTCATACCAAGTTTCTCATTACCCTGTGACTGTTGAATTGCCCATTTGTGAGCCAACATAACTACCAGAACAGAAAGAAGGTGCCTACTATCAAGTAGGCTTTGACACTCCTGGGCTGGAAGCAGTGGGCTGCCTTGTTCACCACAGGCACTGAAATATAACTGGTACCGGGGCCCCATCCCTCCTCTCTGGTCTGGCAGCACAGGCAGAATGGTTTTCCTGGCCAGGGTCAGTCATGGACCTGAAGGCTTAAGGCCTGGTTCAAACCTTCGGCCTTCCTACTGCAATTCCCATGATTACTGATTGCCTTCCCTCTCCTTAATGTACCTCCAGGGAATGATTGATTTTACAGACGAATTACAACTTTCAAGGACAACAGAAGTCACAAACCTCTATTTCTCCCAAAACCTTCCCCACAAAACCTGATTTAAGAAGTTTCTACACATTGTCAGATGTCAAGAAAGAGCTTCAGTATCTGACAGAAGTAAATATAAGGGACTTCTAAACATCATTCTAGAATACACTGTTCACAAGTAACTTTAAAATGAGATGATTTAAAATGAGATGTTTTAAAATGTGACCTTTTATCAGGACAAGTTTAAATCCTCTTAAAGCTGAAACCTGATCAAAGCTCCCATAATCACAGTGATTATTTTGATTTTTCTTGTCTAAGAGGGACAATGCTTTTTATTTTGGGGAATAGGCAGACTTTATAAAAATCAGTAAAGCCATGCATTTTAATTTTAAAAATCTCCTGTCCCATCCCCAAGCGAGTAGTGCCTGCCTGCTCAGCAGGCCTTGGGGAAACATCGATCCGTGTTGTACCTTGGCCCCATTATTCCTCAGGAGGGCAACATTTGGTCTAATTGCAACAGCTTGCCTTCGGACTTGATTACCTCATCAACCAGAAAGCGGATTTTCCCCACAAAGTCTTGGGCTTCCTGGATCATTTCATCCAGAGAGAACTTTTTCTTCTGCTGCTGAACCATCGCCTTGGCATCCTTGGACATCGCTTCCTGAAACAAGACCAGAGTTGGTGGAGACCTTTCTCGGGTCTGGACAGGGAGCTCTGCCTCATGCTGGAGGGCCATCCAGGGGCCGGCAACTCACACAGCCCTGGCAGGGCCCGTGTTGGCGACTGCCACTGCCCCATTAATACAGACTTCGCAGGAATGTGGAGACAGTACTGTCTCAGCCAGGACCTGAATCGAGACTTCCTGATACTTAATAACAAGGACAAACTGGCGGCTGAAATGTACTGAGCTCCTCCTCTATGTCAGGCGCTATTCCAACCACTTTATTAGTCCTTCCCCATCTTCACTGCCCTAGGATGTGGGTGCAATCATCCTCATTTTAAGGCTTAGACCACAAAGTAATGCAGTCCTGAGTTGCAACACTGGAGCTGACCTCGGCTGCGTCCAGAGTGTCCAGAGTGTGTCCTCAGTTACCACTCTCAGATACCCGTCCTACAGGCCCCGTGTGCTTGTGTCCCAAACATGCTTCCTCCCTGCCTGGGAGCCTCAGCATGCTAGGAACATCGGAGAGTGTTCATTCTGATGCATTTGTTCAGCCCACATTTACGTGCTTAGGGAAAAATACAGCTCAGACTCTGCCCAGTGGCCCTGCGTGAACTGGCCCAGGCTCCCCACTTCTCCCGGCAGCGTCCTCCCCATTCACTATGCCCTGGCACGCTTGTCCTCAGGAGGCCCTAGAGCGTGCCCAGCCAGCTCCGTCCTGCGCTGTGCTTCCTCCTAGTCAAATGCTCTTCACTTGGCTCTAATGTCACCATGGTGTTATATTTCCTCATGTTTTCCTGAGCACCGTGGCTGTTTAAAATCCGCCCCCATAATCATAACAGAATTTTCATGTGTTTGTTGTTTACCCATCTTCTGTCTTCTCCCCTGCCACAGAGCAGGGGCCTCCTCTGTCCTGTCCTTACCTCGTGTGGCAGAGACATTGTCACGTACCCGAGACCCAGCACATTTTGGGCACAGGGCAGGAGTTAAATGCCTGTGGGATGAATGAGCCAGCTGCCATCTAAATTCCTAAAGGACAAGCACCAAGTCCTCTCAGCGCACATCTCCACCTAGCACAGGCCTGATTCCCAGGAAGCCTTCTGAATACCCGAGATCTACCAGGGGATGTGCCGAGGCCTGGGGCGGGTCAGACTGAATGACTCCTTCCCCTCGGCCTGGACAGTTTGTGCGAAGAAACAACACATGTAAATAATTAAATAGGTGCAGCATCACGAGACCTGCAGGATGGAAGCCAGGCTTCACGGAGGCCGTGACACTCGAGCTGACTCTTGAAAGGCGGTTAGAATTCATCAGATAATGAGAAGTCAAAGCACACCCCAGACAGAGGGAGCCATCACATGTGGAGAAATGTAACGGTGAGCATCCCGAAGTGTGGAGCACAGTGGTACAGGAGGCAGCAGGGGGATGAGGCTGGCTTGCTGGGTGTGCATAGCCCCATACACTGCACAGGAGGAATTGAGACTTTATCCCATGAATCACTGAGAGATTCCAGAGACTGTTAGTGATACAATTGCTAGTGATACAGTTGGATTTGTGTTCTAAGATTCTTCTGATAATGGGGGGAAAACGGGCTGGAGGACAACTGCCAAAAGAAGCCCAGGCCAGAGGTCTAAGGGGCTGTCTGTCCAGTGACTCTGAGGGTGAAGATGTAGCGTAAGTCTCAGTGTTTAAGGGGCAGGATCAACAGGACCTGGGGTCAAACTGGCTTTTAAGGTAAGGGTTAAGAGTCTACATTGAGCTGGGCACAGGGGCACAGGCCTGTAATGCCAACACTCTGGGAGGCCGAGGTGGGAGGGTTGCAATTCAGAGCCCAGCCTGAGCAGCTTAGTGACTTAGGGAGACCCTGTCTCAAAATGAAAAAAATTAGAGAGGGCTGGAAGTTTATCTCAGCGCAATGCCCCTGGGTTTAATCTTCAGTGCCTCCCTCCAAAACCCTCAATATGGACACTGGGGTTTCTCGCTGGAGCAGTAAGCAGAGCCCACGGTGGCACACAGGGTGCAGAACAAGGTGAGACACGAGTAGGATCTACTGAGTTCAAGGACAGGGGCTGGAGACACTGATCTAGAGATGAGGAGACGGCTCTGGGCCACTACAAAGATGTTGGAATCGGGGTTTGTGCAGGCCCAGGAGTGCTGGGCACTGAGAAAACGGAGCCCACTGAGGGGTGCTGCAGAGACGGCAGCTCAGGCAGACAGCTGGGAAGAGCCAGGGCAGAAGACCTCACAGGTGACCTGGTGACAGGGCGCAGCCTCCGCCTAGGGCTCTGGGGTCAGAAAGGAATATTCCAGAAGGGAGGACGGATGAGGGATTGGGACCCATGGGCTTCAGCCCCTGGCCTCTGGTTAACTAGCTGTGACCTACTGAAAAGTCACTTACTATTCTGACAGCTGCCCACGTGCCTAAAGGGGCCTAGGGAAGTCAAACACTGCACGATTTTCTGTGGCACATTTATCATGGGCTCACAAAAAGTCCCCCAGTGCCGTGACTGGAACAGCAGTCTCCAGGTGACGATCCTGCTCCTGGCTTGGTCTGGCTCATTCTGGCCACCACCCCTGTGGGCACCGTGAAGGTCTCCAGGACACAGAGCACTGCCAGCCACCACCTTGTCGGGTGCAATTCTTAACAGGTGCAAGGGACCCTGCCTGGGAGGGAGGTTGGTTGTTTCTTTTGTCATCTCAGTGTGTAGGGCAGACAGCCAAGTGAGGCTGCAGACTTTAACAAAACACAGATGTCCAGGGGATGAGCAAGGGGCATGAAGCAGGCCCTGAGGACTCGACCTCCTCCAGGCAAGCCTTTGATACATTCCAGCCCCTTCCAGCTCAGCAGAGTCCTTTCTCCTGTCTCTACAGCACTTGTGTCCATGTCCTTTAAACCTTGTCCCTGTCTGGCCTGTGACCTATGCTTCTTTCCCGGGGTTTATTTGCAGAGCATGTGCTTTGGCTCTGTCCCGGGTATGAATCAATTCCCACATACCAGCTCCTGCCAGCAGAGTGTGAGTCGCTTCTTATCTAGAGTGGTTTGGTTCAGCGTCTTAGGCTTTTTTTCTGCTTCGGAGATAAAGGCACTGTAAGAGAAGAGTAACAGTTTTAAAGCTTCTTGGTGAAGATCCATTTATGTGATTCCAGAGATTTGCAAAAATACTTTCTGCAACATGACAGAAAGCTAAAGGAACCACAGGAAGGAGATTTTAAGTTTAGAATTCAGCAACAATGCACTAGCTTTGCTAAGAGACCAAATGAGACCTGCAAATGGGGCCCAGGCCCCACATCGGCTTTGGGAAATGAGTATTTGCCCATTTCCTTTTGGAATATATCTGTTGTGATTATTATCAAGAATTTAAAACAACCACTCACACAAAACAATGCAGTTTTCCTTTGTCTTACAAATGTAAAACACTAAACTTTTCCTGGAAAGTTCCATGTAAAGCAAACATTTTTTACTCAATACTGAGATGGGTCCCAATCTTTCTGAGTAAAACATTTTTTGGCAGTGAAGTTAAAAACATGTTCAGTAGGAAAATAGAAAGGTTATGAATGAAATTCAAGAAGAAATGTAAATGGCGAAAAAAAAACTTGAAAAAAAAAGATATTGTCCTCATCAGTGATAATTTAAATGCAAATTAAAATCAGTGCCATTTCACCTAAAAATGAATAGGTTGGTGAAGGTGGAGGGGTGTGGAGGAGAGTATATGCTAATGAAGAGTGTAAATTATCAGTGTTCTAAAAACTACTTGGTAGCACATATTTACATTTCAATGTCCATATAATCTGACCAAAAATTACACCAGAATTCCTACCCTTCACATCCAGCTGAACAATTTGACACGAATATGCTTACACAAGGCTATTTACCGAAGCACTCTTTAGAGTACCAAAGTAAACGGGAACAACTGCTATCCTCAGGGACTAGATAAGTGTGCTGTGCTACACCTGTGCAAGCAGATGCTGAGGATGCTGAGGATGTCGTTACATGGTGCAGTGGGAGAATACCCGTGACATACTGATAAGTGAGATGCAGCCTGCTGAGCAACATGAGTGGCACCTTTTGTAATGACATATGCTGTTGTTATGAGTGGTTCTATGAGGGTGTGCGCTGGCAAATGTACACACACACACACACACACACACACACACACACACACACGTGTCCAGAAGGACAATTCAATCTCCTCTCTGGAAAGTGGGGAAAAACTTGAGAAAAACTTGAGAATACTTCTACTTTACACATTTTGGGGTGTTTTTTGTTTTTTACAATGAACCTGTATTTCTTCTGTGATGAAAAGCACTTATGAAGTAAACACAAGGGGGATTCTGAATAAATTGCATTTTACCTTAATTTTTTAAAAGCATGAAAAGCATTATATTTTGAGGTGGGAGTCACTTTGCCCCATTCCTGCCTCTTCCAGAGGCTTGGAGAATTCCATTCCACCCCCAGAAAAGATCAGGACCGAGGACTTGGCAGGCACATGTGATCTCTGCCCCATGGTGGGAGATGGAATCTGTTTCTCATCAAAGTAGAGGTAGTGATATAGCACCTGCTTCCTCTGGCTGTGGGCAGCCTTGTCACCACTGCATGGCATGTCACTTGTCCTTTTGGGTGACCCCAAAATTGCAGCTGCTTGGCCATGGATACCATGGGTGGGGGAGCAGAAAGCCCAATTCTCCTCTGGTACCAGCTGCTTTCTCAAACCTAGACTTGCCAAATATAAAACTCGAGTTCTGATCTTTGTCTAACTCTCATGAATATTTTTTCATTTGGTTAGAAACTTGAAGAGAAAGGGGAACAATTAATTATCACCTTCAAGTAATCCTCTAATATAAAAAGTTATGGAGCTATTAATTTGCTTGCAATTGGTCTCTAAAAATATGAGATTACAAAGCTTTTTAAAGATGCTTAAAGGGAATCATAGGTAGGTCTTAGCTCACAACAGGAGTAACACTAATATATATTGCTTTCATAGTAAAAAATGAAAAAGAAAGAAAAAGAGAAAAAGATAAATATTTATTTCTTCCTCCCTCCATTTCTAGTCCCTTGCCTTTTGCAAAAATCTCCCTCTCCCTGTTTCCTATTAGCTATCTTTTATTTTGTTCTTTAATTATTTATCCTTTGGGGAGGAGGGAAGGGAAGGGGATGAAGAAGGTATGAAGTTGTGTTCTGTACACAGACCAACTCCCCAGGAGGAATGTGATCAGTATGTACCGCAAACATGGACTAATAAAAATAAAATACCGGCCCCCAGAGCTGAGAAGCAGAGCCACCCCCAGCACCAAGGAGATGAGCCGTAGGGGCACCAGCAGCACAGCATCCCTCAACCTAGTGAAATCAGAAGACATGTAAACAAGTCTCAAAACCAGACTTCCAGATCACCTAAAGCAACCCCAAAGGGAAATGAGAGGCAACAATTTGATATTCAACAACAGGGACTCCCTGAACTGGCAACAAAAGAGGAACTGGAAAAAATGAAATCAGAAATAATTTCTCAGATAAGAACAGAGATTGTGCCCATAGTGCAAGATATGACAAATAAATCTAGAGAGGACACAGATAAAAAAAATAGAGGAGCTGGGGCCAGGGATTTAATTCAGTGGTTTCACCACCTGCTGCACAAGTGCAAGGACCCGAGTTCAATCCCCGGTACCAAAAAAAAAAAAAAAAAAAAAAATAGAGGAGCTGAGGAACATGATGGAATCCCAACATAGGAAACAAATGGAGTTCATAAAGCAGATGCAAAAAGATTTTGAGGCAATTAAAAACTCCACTGAAAGTTTATGCAGCAGAATGAGCCAATGTGAGGACAGAATTTCAGATATAGAAGATAAGATTGCAATTAGTGACTACGAAAAGAAAGATTTCTTTAAAATAGTAAGGGACCATGAGAAATCAATCCAGCAGCTGCTAGATGACGCAAAGAAGATAACATAAGACTGATCAGTGTCAATGAAGAAACAGGAGAGAGTGCAGATGAATAAAAATCTGTTCACAGAAGTGATGGCAGAAAACTTCCCAAGCAGGGGAAAAGAACTTGACATACAGATAAGTGAGTCATACAGGGCTCCAACTAGCTTTGATAAAAAAAAAAACTACACATAGGCATATAATAGTTAAGATTCCAGAAACACAACAGAAGATCAAAATCCTGCAAGCAGTTAGAGAAAAGAAACAAATCACATACAAAGGAAAGCCCATCAGAATCACAGCAGACTTCTCAATGCAAACCCTCAAGG